GCATGTCGTTGCTTGCTCGGACTTGTATCCTGCCGAGGCGGAATTGGGATCCATCATGAGCCAGGTCTGTCTATCATAATCCTTTCGATAGGCTGTACTGATTTTTCAGATCCTAGAAGGCGTGTGCTATCTAGCTGGATTTGGCCTTTCTCATCAGTCTTTGGTCTGATCCAACATAGTACTCGGCCTTGATGGGGTTATCAAAATCGGCCAGTCGGGACTAATTAGTGGGGGTATCTAGATAACGAGCGGCAGCTGGCCCGGAATATTGCGTTGACTGCACGCCAATTCAGTCCGAAGCCGCATGTATCGCCACCATACCGTCAATTGGCGTCGACGACCTGGAGCGCTGGCCACTCGAGTCCACCACCGGAGATCTTTTGTCCGCCTCTGGCTTTCGATCTGTCGTTGTACGAGGTCTGCGTTGAAAAAGAGGAATAAGATCGGAGACAGGGGAGAGCCCTGAGGTAATCCAGCCTGTGGAAGGCTTTGGATCTCAGACTTTCAGCTTTACAGTGGAGTTGAGAATTGCGGTAAGCACGCGCTCACCTGTTCTGCTGGAAAATAAACTTAAGGATCTCCACAATAACGCTGTTTGTTTGGAAATGAATATCTTATTAGTTCCTCTATTATCGTTTAAGGGTGAGCAGCAACGTTTATCTAGCAAAAAGGAACTGGTGTGTCGACTTCAATGACCAATTGCTGTATTGAACGAGAACGATGCGTTTAGTCCGTGGTAATCCTGGAGGCAATTTTGAGGATGTGACCTTCCAGTTAATTTCCCACTTTCTGCCACAATTCTTTTGGAATTGTGTTTATTAACCACGCAGGTAGAGAGAAATTGTAAATCGTTGGTCAAAGGCTACAGAGACTGAGGACATTTGACCGACCATCCCTATAGAAACATTATTTCAAAGGCTTTTACTCTATAGATAAATAGTATTATCGTTAAATGAAATGTTCATTTGATTTCTGAATTTTAGTGGGGGCGGGTTTAGGAAACTTTTGCGGTGTGGCTGTAGAGCATCGGTAGATTTTGCTCTTACTCTGCGTATTGCCTACGAGCTAGCACACCCCTTCGGCTCTTGCAGTATCAAGTTCTGGCAACGATGAACACTCTTGGAGATTATGGGAAGGTTGTTTACTCTCTTGTGTCACCAAGGAAATTTATTTTGACGTGTCGTTTGAACAAATAAGAATAAAAATTTCTTCCAATTCACTAGGGTGGGGGATGTCAGGGAATAATCTTTTCATGGACATAAAGAGGCGGGAAGATTCTGTAGCTTCCGAAAAATATTTTCGCTTCCCTAAGCAATTCCACTCATACTACGTTCGCGCTGGCTCAATTGCCCGAATGCCTACGCTCACCACTATGCTTAAAAAAGCTCCGTACTCTGAGTCCGAAGCTCAAAGTGCTCGGGTCTGCCCCAGGATGTTGGCCACCTTCCCAAAAGAGTCAACAATACCTTCTCCTAGGCCCGGCGGTCTGTATACGAGAGCGAGAACACTCAAAGCACCCAGCACAAGAGCTTCAGTCTTATTTAACACTACGAGGCCGAGAAGCAAAAATGGCTGTCGAGCGACCAAGTTCAGCACCAAACTTGATATCGCTAGCCAACCTGTGAATGACCAGGCACAATATCGATCTTCAATGTTCTCGCAAGCAATATATGGCGCCTTGCGTGGGGCCGTGCCCCAACCTCAATCTAAAGGCTCGGCTGAATTTCAGACTTTATGCCTTTTCCCAATGGATGGCTTTGATACAGCAGAGTGGTGCGATTCCCAATTCCGCACACCTGTGGAGTTCGACGCGGCGAATTGACTTTGGCGACCAAATTACACGATTAGTGGGAAACTGGTGGACAGATGGGCAGTCCAGAGGGACAAGCTGTGGTAAAGACTTTTTTAGGCTGCACTCCATTCAACCAGCTACGTATGTGGTTTTCGTGGTTCTGGGGCAGTTGGTTCGGTCCAAAGTCATGTGAGGATCTTATGGTTGCTGTCGTCAATATATCTGGTGTATGATAGTCATGTTCCCTGGCAATCCAAAAAATATACATGATAGAAGATAATCCGTGGTTTCAGTCCTTTTAATAGTCCAGAGCCCCGACCGCCGAATACGTGGGCCACATATACTTAAACCAAGTATTAAAGCCCTTCCATCCCTTCACTATAGGTAGGGACTTACGGCGTCTAGACCACATGAAAGGAAGCCGTCAACAGTACTGTATAAGTCACTCAAAGAGAGAGTATTCCTGTTTCAGAGGTGGAAACCCTGAAAACGTATGAATGATGTAAAGGAAGAGGGAGTAATCTGGAACCGGAGTGCTTGTGAACAGAACCATCTGCATGAGGAAGACATAGAAATAAAAATTTGAGAGCGTTGATAAGTTACTTATATCGATGCCTTCCCAATTGTCCAGAAACAGACATCGTGATGGAGGCCAATATCATGTGTCCAATCTTGGAAATGCTCCAAATTCATCATTAGGCGCCCTCCTCTAGATGACTACAAGAAACCCCATTTGAGACTGATTGAGTAGTAGAATGGCAAGTGTCAGGATCATGGCCTCAAGCCGTCATCTAGATCCCGGAGACTTTGTCGATATGACCTTCCCGTTTCTTCCAACTTCTCACTCTTCATCCGTCAGCCAGAATACTAGCGCCATAGCCAAAACCAAAGTGGTACGTAATTATCTTGTAGTCCTATCTTACAGTTTCTACAAATTTGGGCATTGAATCCTATCTTGACCACTCCGCTGGATGTAGGAAGAGAAGAAATGAGTTTATTTCTTGTCAGGGATGTATGCATTCATCTTGGGAAACATGCAAGCAAGAGCTACTGTAAAGGAGGCCGATAGCCCGCGCCGGGCTCCCTAAGGTTGCCCATGGGCGAGGAAATATCGTAAAATCCTTCTAATTTCACAATTTAAGCTAAGCTACATAAACAACCTCTACTATGAAGCTTACCGCAAGGAAAAGTGACATTCGCATTATATACAGATTTCTCGACCTGGCCTGTTCACTTGCCGGCGATACATATCATGGGAAGATTTATTAGATCTGAACCCATGAAACTTTACCAGAAATTCGAGTCTCACTATCCATGGGACTATCGAGTTGACCCGAGACGATGACTTTATTGCCAATTGACATTCGAATATCATTTGGACCAACTACCCCTATAAAAAACCCTCCTGCCAGTCATCTCAGCGATGGCGCTGTAGGTAAGAGAGACGGCTGAGAAACGGAAGGAAGGTGCTGGCTGTGATATGGCACCACTGAAAGAACATAGAATTCCATGGATACCAAAGGTTGCCTTTATTCGATGGTCTTGGTGTCGTAGCACTCCTTTTCCGGAATACATCTATTGAATGAGAAAGTTAGCTAAAGTTGACGGAAGAGTTGATGCCCGGATTACTCGCTGTGGATTGACAGTGGTGGGAATACCTTAGCAGAATATCAAGGAATGAAAGTACGTGTTGATGGGGAAAATGGATGAGGGTAGAATGAGCTCAAGAAAGAAGCTGCGGTAACGTGCGGCAATCCGATGTTTTAAATCATAATATACCCTCATTAATATCCAAGGCATCAGTCGAGACGTGACCGAAGTGACTCTCACATCGATGGAGCGGTTATTTCGACCACGAGAAAGTTGGAGCAGGTGGATCTAGTGTAATACCGATGGTTATTCAGCCGTGATGGACCTTGTATGCCCTGCAGTTGAGGGTAATACTGTGCAGTAATACGGGCGGATCAAGAGCTCTATGTTTATTCGTGGGCAACTACTCACTTAATAATTGTATTGTTGGGTGGGTAATTCTCCGGACAATAGTGCCCTTTCTACTAGAGGTATTTTGAACAAATCCGTTGTTTTCAGTTTCACCAATGTCCATTAAATTCAGACGATCAATGTTCAGTTCCTGCGCAACCTGAGTCTGGGTTCGCAAGGTACGGATAGTTCTATTCAGAAACTGCAATCCCATAGTTATTCCACTCCGTTCCTCCGCAGAGACATACAGCGGCGGCCGATTTTGCGAGCGTTTTCTAGCTAGCCATCTACTACTGAATGCCTTCTTTCGATGAGCTCGCCTCTTCTTCCTCAAGAGTCAAAGTAATATTCTAACACAACTTAGTAGATATTTCAAAAGCTAGTAGGAGACCTACCGTTGGATGGTCCGAAGGAAATGTAGACTGGAAAAGACGTAGATCTCCATGACGTGACCGACGAACGACGATGACATGTACCACCTCCAGCCCAAACCATTTTGCCACCCTCGAAATTGTTCCAGGCATAACTTGAGAAATGATTGCTAGTAGTATGTCTGGAGGCAGAATATGAAGGTTGATAGGCAAAGAGAAATCTGAAATGCTGGATACGGTTGACAGCAATTGCTGAGAGAATGAGAACAAGCCCTTATAATTCAGAAATACCAGGCCAGCTTCTTGTTCTAGCTTTATAACAAGGGCCGTCAGTTACTGAACAAGTATTTGGAAAGCGAAAGTGCCATTTTTCGCGGTGTCCCAAATGTGGGGAAATTGGGGTGGATTTGTGGCGATGAACAGGAGACCGGTGCCAATTTCAACGTGCTGCTCTTCCAACTAAAGTATCCTTCATTCTCAAAAAGTTGTGATCAAGTCTTGTTACTGATGGCTAACGTTCTATCACATTAACCACACCATCTCTGTTCATTCAGTTAAACATAGCGTCCAGTGTTTTCTGTGAGGTTCGCTCAGAAATACACTTCTCGCCCAATGCCAGTCATCATGAACGCATGGTAGTACACATGGTCTATTAAGTTCAACCCTCAAGATTGATGCAGGAATCAGAGAAGAGTTATACTAGCTTCACAATTGATGAAGAGGAACAAGCAGCCTATAAGTATAGCCATTGGAATCATAGATCGTACTTTTACTGATTCAAGGCACCGGTTCTCTCTAAGTGTCCAAGGTGTCACTTGCTCCATATTCCTTCTTTGGCCAATTATTCACTCGCAGACATGGATGCCTCGGTAAGTTTCTTCGCCCTTAGCCGCGATATCACTGACCAGTATTAAGGAGGCTCTTCGGATTATTAGTGCACTCAATACACGCACCGTACAGGCAGAACGCCGCCAAGCGAGAGCCGAACAGGAGCTAGTGGCAATACGGGAGGCGCTCAGTCAATCCAGGACCGAGTTGGAGGAAATAGTCCGGCTAACCGAGATTCTCTATGAGGTCAATCGGCGAATGGGGTCCATGATGGACTACCTATTCAAAGAGCATGGTATCAAGCATGGTTATGAGGATGCCGAGTCCTTTGATTTGATGTTTGATTTGGTGGTGAAGCGGCTGGAGGCGGAGGAGTCGGGGGAGCCTCCCAAGCGCGACGATAAAGCCGGAGACCTCATTGGCAGCTGTGTCTCTGCACCTGCAGAGCTGAGTAGTGGGAGTGGTGTGAAATGATACAGTTTCGTGCGGGTCTCCATATCACGCCCTACAAAGCCAATCAAATAACATGAATAAATCAATCGCACTCCGCCTGAACCGAATCAGCATCATCTGCGTAAGGATAATTAGGACCTCAATTACAAGGGAGTGGGCAAATTCTGTTTTAAAGGGCCAACGTGAGCCTGGAGTGGTGACAGCCACTGTATCTGCCGTTAGTTTTCTAATTCCCTGTCACAGACACCTAGGTACTTACAGCTGCTTCTCGATCCACACGATTGGTAGGGTATTTTTCATATACCGGGAATTGTGCCTCTTCTTCACCACTAACATAGCTACCTCGATCTAGACATGAACAGACAACAATGTGTCTCAGTGATATGTGTCGGAAAGAGGCCCGCGCTCGCTCAAGCAACTTTGATCTTGGGACCGTGTTGAGAAATACATCGGTATGCGTCTTCGGGACAAGATGAACATGGAATGGAACTCCCAGCAGCTACTTGTTGCATCATGTATCGTACTTTTCTTATTCAAGTTGGCGGAAAAACCAGGAAATGTTACGACTGATGGTTTTACAACCTAATTGGAGTAACAAAACAAAAAAGAAATGCCGTCCACCCAAGGCTGCTGAAAATATACACCGAAGCCTTTAGTCACAGATGACCGGGTCTAAAGACTACCGATACTCCCAGTGCTTCATTGTGGGAAACCGCGTGCCAACCCAAAAACTCAATGAGCTGAAAGGATATGAAAAGAAATTCCATCCATTTTTTGGGTCGGTATCTTGCTGCATTGGAGATCGTCAGCAGGCTCATGGTTCATTGCGATGGTCAGCAAACAACTTACATTGGAACAGCTGCGCGTCAACACCGTTTTGCTGAGAGCAGTCTGTATGGTGTCGCACCACTCAATCTCAGCCCCTTTGCATACCTCGACGATCGATGCCTGTCGCTGAAGTATAGGACGTGAAATCCTAATAGCGAGGTTGACCGAGCTGTGACAAAATTAGCACAGCTCCGGCGGTACTGCTGGAGGACAATACTCACCACTCGATCGCAAAAAGGACAGACGTGTGTCCGCTGCCAGAATTCGGGCCTAGTAAATAGAACATGTTGGGAAACTCGTTCATCGCCACAGTTTTGTAAGCGCCGATGCCGCCTCGATCATCCCAGAGTTGTTTCATCGACTTTCCTCGCCGGCCTATCACTGAATCGGCCTTCCATTGAGTGAACTCGAATCCCGTCGCGAGAATCTAGGATCTGTGGTCAGCATGGGCTATGAAATCATTCTTCCACATGCAACTCACGATGAAATCAACCGGGTATTTGTCGCCTGAACCCGTCACCACACTCTTCGAGTGGACTTGTGAAATCGAGTCCTTGACCAGCTTCATTCTAGGGCTGCGAAGCGATCGGGTATAGTGATTGTCCAGTATCCTTCGCTGCACACAATGTTAGTAGTGGCCCGACACAGTTCAAACACTCGCTTACTCGGCAGCCAAGGTCATACCCAGGTGTAAGTAAAGGCCGGTATCGCTCTGAAATGCCTCAGTCAGCATTAGGGTGGCGACGGATTTTGTCACATACTAACCAGGGGCGTTCTCCGTAATATACTTCTGACTGCGCGAAGCGCTCTCCTCTCTCGATTTGTCTCCTTTGGAATTGTTGTAAAACTGCCCAAGTGTGGTATCAAGGATCCAAAAGACCAGCCAACGGATAAGCAGCAAAGTGAGTGGAATGTAGGAGAAGCAAGCGCGCAGTACTTTTCCAAATCGATAATTGCCTATGGGCATCGGGACATAATATTGCGGGCTCTACTTACACGTACAGAGTCAGGATCAATCGAGCAGGCTCGCTGCAATGAAACTATTACCCGAATAAACTGCGTCAGGCTGCTGACTTCATCGATCACAGCAGGAACTACCTGTGAGCCAGAGCCTGTAGGACTGTTATTTCAATGCCCCTGATAGGCGAGTCATAGGTGTGAACAAACATCCGTTGCCCACCACGGCCACCTTGAGGCCTCGGAGGTCGTACTCCTTATTCCACTTGGCAGTATGCACCACGGAGCCTTCAAACTTCTCCAAACCAGGCAAAGCGGGGAGCTTGGGGTTTGTATAACCCCCAACAGCGGAGATCAACACTTTGGCTTCGTGAAGAAATTCCTCTTCCGTATTCAAATTGCAGAGATACACATGCCATGTACCAGATGCCTCTACCCACTGGGCACCTTTCCATTCAGTCTGAAACCTCACATGTTCAGTGAAATGGTTAGTACGGGCGACGCGTTGAATGTAGGATAAAATCTCCTTCTGGGACGGGAAAAGGGTTGGTAAAGTTTGGGTTCGGGAACCATGACAATGAATATAAAGCTCCGGGTATATCAACACTGCATCCAGGATCTGCTCTTTGCAAGCTAGTACTACTTTGAGGGGACGCGGAAAAATCACATTTGTTGGCGGCCCACGCGCCACCCAATTCTCGAGCGCGGTCGTAAATCACGTAGTCGCTGACACATAATTGCCGTTGGAGCTGGCATGCCATGTCGATCCCCGACAGGCCTGCTCCAACGATAACGACATCGCTGTACAATCTCTTTTGTTTTTCCATGGCTGGCCTGTTGTGTGTGAACCAGATAGCGTAGTAAATCTCATGGTATGCAATTTATAAGAGCGGGCCCACCATGAGCTTATCATGAAAATTACCCGAAGGGTCTGTTTCTATCGATGAGATCGGCCAGGACTTGATAGGAAAAAGATAAAAGATCAGAGCTATTAAACATAAACAATATTGTCCCAAGATCAACAGCCACAGATTGACACTGCGGGGGCAGCGGGTGCAGTACGGGGCCAAGCAAATCGCGGTCAATTGAACTGTTTACTTCTTTTTTGGGGAACTACCGCAGGTATCTTTCATTAGCCCAGTTATTTCCTCCTGGCCCGGTGGCGTGGCAGCGCCACATTGATGAACAATAATTTAGTCAGCCTCTTGGTGGGATCAAAATTTTCATTTAAACATACCTTGTGGTTTGTACCCAAGTCCAGCCAGAGTCATCCCAGACGTGTCCATTTGCAGAAGATGGCACTCTTGAAGATTCTAAGTCTACTTCCATTGTTCTTGACCTTGGCATTCCACCCGACTGCAGAACAACATGGCATTTGCCCTTGCAGAGAACATTTCCCTTAATTTTTGGTAAACTTTGCGAGTCTCCCCTGGCTGTTTATGTGTTTGGTCTTTTGCAACCAAGAATCGAACGTTGGCTTTATGCCAGCATCCTACGAAGCAACATCTCGAAAGCCATTGGCCTCCCTTATCGTGCTCAGGAAAATTGGTACCTCAGTGCCGACCAAATTTCTATGCCAGCAGGTTTCGTTATACAGAGAGTGCAGTCTTCCCAACACCAAGAAAACCTTGCATAAACAGTGTAGCGGCCATGAATATCACCAGAGGTCCATAGGCCACCTGACCAACCCCTCCATATTACATGATGTTGTAATACTGAAAGTTGTCATCGCCACTAAACATTTCAAAAGAGGGTTGGAAGCCGTGTACGTGGTCGGCCAGCCAGCCCCCTGTGGATAGGATCACTAACCCAGGAGGCATTGTACGCACCCGAAGGACATCCAGGGTTCGTCTTGCTCTCGTGGCCATCTGGGGCGGCCTGCAAGCACAGCCCCGGTAATGACAAACAAGGTGGATGCGAGTGCCGCAAGCACCACATCTTTGAGGCCATTGTTCATGAGATTTCTGAATGTGTTATCTGAAACGGATTTGTTGGGAGTGATGATATCGAAGTTCGCTCAATCCCGCAGAATGACCGCAAAGCGCGCGATGGCTGAGTTGAGACCTGCAAGGACTAGTCCTACCACAGCGAGGAACATAATGGCAAAGCGCATCCTGATGGTTGTTTTAGTAGACATTGTGGAGCGCAGCGTTCTGTGAGCAAATAGTGTTTAGCCGATTGCGTTGGTAAACTTGCTTATATAAACAACTCAACAAAATGATGATAGAAATAAAATAGGGCAGGCGAATCTCTCTAGTCGTATTTTATGTGCTCTCTACGCAAGGACGCCGTCCCGCAAGCGACTCAGTATGAGGCTGAGCTCGGCCGATTTTTCACTCTGCCTTGCTCCCGTAAACTCAGGGCTCTGTCAGTTGTGTCGTTTTATGCTATGTGATCGCAAGATCCCCACGATCGGTCTTGAACCACCGGCTGCCATTGGTAACCCTACTTCGCTGATTGTGTGTGATTTGTGGAATTACATATTTGTCCCCATGCCCCTCTCGTGCTCCGTTTTGAGCTGGCTGCTTTGTTGGCACTCCAAGATAAACAGTTGAAAAGCGCCAGTAACAGGGCATTTGTTGCATTATGCAGATAACCTAGTGGCACATGGCCATGGCGCCCGAATAATAACTGTCAATGCTTCGCCTAGCAATTGATTACTGCAGTACTGCACCCGCACTGCATCTAGGAACAGGTAAATACCCGTATTGGCAACTTGCGCTGGCAAAACCACCCCACAAAGTTTCGTAAAAAGGATGCCAATCGTCCACAGCTCTCTCGGTCGGAAATGAGGGGCGCCAGCAAGAGATCCCACGCCTTTGAAGAACCAGTTGGATGTCGCTGGCGAGGATCAAAATATAGATCTTAAAGATGCCCAAATGTTAAATCCTGCCAAGCTAACCATTGCAAAAAGTAGATCGGCAATATTGGGCGCTTTGATGGCACTACTTTCCGCAAGGAAAACACCCAATGAAAAAAGTCCAGCTTTGAGAAACGCTTCATAGATCATTAGGACAGCATCCCGGCTTAACCCAATAAGCTCGAAATCTCCCTCTCTAATAGAACCCACAGGGAAGCCCCCTATCCAGTGCCTCAAAAACAGACGGAACAATATTCGTCTATAGTTGCGAATTTGGTCGCTCGGACATTGTTGCATTATCAAATAGTCGGTCAAAGCAGTTCCTCTGCATGGCTCGTACGTGATTCGACGCGGAAAATTGGTCTTTGTAGGAGCAGTCCGCAGGATGGATATTATCCTCCAACGCCAATCCACAGGCTCACGCCAGGTGTCTGCCAAGTCATGTGGAAACAAAGCGGCAAGCTCCTGTGGGTGTGATGACCACACCGTGCGGGTCCGCTCTTCATCAAGTAGTTCACTCTGCATAGCCGCAAACGGCGACTTATAGTGGAAAAATCTAGAGTAGAAGGTTGGAGTGTTGACTTTAAAGACGATAAGTTCGAGTGCTTCTTTGCTTGCCTCTTCATCAGGACGGTGTGGAGCTTTCTCGCCAGAATGTTGCTGATGTGAGTACATGACCCGAGTTCGCGCACAGTGCTCTCCTGAAGTGATGTACTTCACACTTTTTATGCGAGACTGGCTTTGGACGATGGAGGATAGAATCATAGAAAAGTATTTTTCCAAGGCCCTACAAAGCAGTCAGTCATTGTCCTTGTCTCCAAGGTTGAGGGTGAATGAGGATTAAAGCTTACCTTTCAGACAGTCGAGCAGACTTTGCGATAGCATTTGTGGTAGGCTCTGCTCTTGTCTGGATGTTAAGTTCCTTTTCGTTGTGCGTCAGGTAAATCTTCGCGGCTTTAAAAAGAATCCGGAAAACTACCACGCTGCACATGGGAACCCACCACCACTTCACGAGGAATAGCAGAGAGGAACCGAGGCTCGCCGAAACAGCATCAAGAGGCGGACAGGTGGAGTTGACTACGGCGTTCACGACTGTTTCTCTTCCTTTTTTCAATGTCACCATGATCTTGAGCTTATCCAAAGGAGCCGCACATGGATCAGACGAGTCAATGACATAGCTTGCCGCGATGGGTGTGAAGGGTGAGACTTGTAGATCCTTATCGAACTTCCCTTTGAAGCAATAAGGGCCATTTCTGGGCGCTTCCATTCTGCAATTTCGCGTTAACCACAGCCTGCGCTCGCCATACGACGTCTGAAGTTGGACAATCATTGCAGTCAGCTCTCTTCTGGTGTTGTAAAGGTACCAGAACGAAAGTGGATTATTCAACTGCCATGTGACACTCGGGGGCGTCAAGAGGTACGCATAAGGCCACTCGGCAGGATCTTCTCCCTATACAGCTTTAGTCCGTGAGTTTTATCCATTTCCGCCGAAGTCTCACCTCAGACAATAGGAACTCCTCTAACTTTTGAGTCATCGACAGGTTTGCACCGCCGTTGAAGGCATGATCCTCTGGTCTGATACTGAACCATGCTTTTTTGATGGGCAGCAAGAAGCCAGGTCGATAAGGTGGCTCAACAGTGATCAGAGGACTATAGCAGGCACGGAGGCCGACTGGATAACCAACATAGAGATACGAATGGTGATAATTGTCCTTGAAGCCGGACCGGCGCAGGTGTCGAAGATCACATGGAAACATCGCAGCCCGGCCGTGAAAAGTCTTCTCGGCCTGGGAATTGCCAGTGACGTTTGGAACTTGAGCTTCTCGAGATGTGCGGTAATTCAAGTCTCTCTTTTGATCACGACTGGTATGCGCAGGACACCCGCTAATCCTGGAATTGGCTGCACATTGAAGCGGAGCTGCGTGCGAATATGTGTCTTGCGCCGAATCAAGATACTCTAATTGAGTCTGCAAGAAAGCAGACGCGACAAAGATAGCCGCAATCACCACAACCTTCACCCAAGAGAGCTCTGCATACTGTATGGAAGCAATGAGCAGAAGGTTTTCAGCCAAAGCCAATGCGACCCTCCTCTCCAGCACCAGACGAACCACAAGAGAGAGCAGAAGAGGGGAAAGAATATACCAGGGCGCCATTTCGTCCTGCACATTCACACTCTGAGATAAAAGAAGCGGACAAACAGCCGCAGGTGAGGACATGCACTTTAAGTGAGGAACTCAGATTTGGGTATGAATTAGCAGGGCTGGGAACCAGCAAGCAACCATGACGAAAATTTGGCGGTGTTTCTCTTTGAACGTAGTGTATTGGTTCAACTTCATATTACACGGTCGCAAAATGTACTACTTTGTTAACCTTGTTCTAGCATGTTTGTTTACACAATTTAGATTTAAACATGACAGCCATGTTACACCCGTTCCATACTTCGCTGGGTATCCCGATAATGGGAAACACGATCCTTGGAAAACACGATCTTTGGAAAACACGATCTTTGGAAAACTGTAAATGTGGGAGTTTCCATTTCTCTCTTTGCGTATCTTCCGGTCGCAGATTCCATACACAAAAAAGCGATCGTCGAATTGTCTGAATCTCATCACGGCCGTCGAGAATAAACACCGCAGTAAGCAAAGCGTAAAAATCCACACCACGTAACAATCTATCCCTCAATTAATATCTGCCAATTCTATACGTCTATTGACCACATTTGACCGTGTCACCCAAACAAACATGGCCGTGCTTTGACAGCGCCAAATTGGCCAAATTGGCCACTTTTTACACACTGTCTGTCCTCCAGTGACCCGCCCGGATCGCCCGCCCACCGCAACCGCGATTGACCACAAGAATCACCAAGCTCCATGGGAATTTTAAATAATGGCCACCATTTTCCAACGTTTACAAGGATTCATTTTCGAAGAAAGAAGCGGACCTTGAAAGAAGGGATAACCTGTTTTGCAACTCTTCCACTGCTTAGTAACTTCAACCATCGAGTAGCAGGGAATGAACGCCGTGCGTTGCCTCTGCTAAGCTGCCTAGGCCGCAAAAAATACAAACAAGCCGAGAAAAGCGTACTTGTAGAAACTATCAAATGATGTTTTCCAAGACTATTAACATCAGTTAAGCTATGGTTGACTGGCAGCTTGCCCCTCGCCTTTCCAGTGATGGCCCCTCAACTCTCAGAATATGCAGAAGGGTGCAGAGTGGAGCATGTTTTCCTTCCACGTGAAATGCTAGAATGAACGGCCGAATGACGCTTCATTATTTATCAAACCTATTTTTCAGATAACCATAGACCGTGAGATCATAGTTTGGACAAAGCAGCCTAGTCAATGGTATTTTAAAAGCAAACGTTGCATCGGGTGTAGGAGTAGATAAATACCTGCTATATCAGCTTCCGCTATAAAAACCGCCCAATACACTCAAATCCCTTCACCGATATTTCCACAATGGATGCCAATCACTCGAAGGCCACTCGGCCGGAAACGGTATTCTTTCCCACGATAGCCAACACCGCAGGGAATGACGGTGTTTCCACCGTATCGCCTGTGGATTGGACCACAGAAGTGGCTACCCCGATCCATCTCCCCAACCCAAGCCAATGACCAACCCTTTGCCACCTTTGAAACCATTTCGGAAGCGAAAGCGAACTTCAGAAGTGCAAACTTGCACTCTTCATCCATTGAACGAAGATCCTTGGGCGGCATATGTCAAAGGCATCGAGAATTTTCCGCGAAAGGGGATTCTCCTGGCCCAGAATAGGGAGGACAAAATGGAGTTGGTCCATATTCAACCGCTCAAAGCGGAACCAGCGTCGATACGGTCTCTGATGAAGATCGTCAACGACCTTTCTTACCGCAGTTTTCCACAACTTCTGCGCCATTGCCAACATGAAGATCACACATTTTTGGTGTGGGAGTCGGTCGAATGCTCTTTGTCCCAAGTCCTAGGATCTAGGTACGCCCTTACCGAAACCGAAATCGCCTCGATTGTATGGCCAGTATGTCTAATGATCCATCCAACCCATCTGACGCGCTTTTGGGAGACACAAGCCCATTCCGAGGCCAATACTGAAGCTCTATAGATCCTTATTGGAATCAGATACCTCCGCAATTGCGATAGAGCGCTTGCCACACTCACCAATGATGAGGTCCTATTTACGGGATCCGGTGGGGTCAGGATCGGTAGGTCAACCCATTGATTGGGCAGTGTGGTCATTGCAGCCTCTAATACCAGCGTCTTGCCAGCTGGTGTGGAACGTAGTTGTCGTATCGATCCCGAAGACATGAATGCAGCTACGCTGAAGCTGACGGCATTGTCGGAGATGGTCAAAATGTTGATGAAAAAGAACGAGGAAATCCATCCTGATTTTTCATGGAGCTCAAAAGCTCGAGATCTGCCACAAAAGTTGAACACGTTTGGACTAGACGAGTTGATGCTGGTGAGTTGGCCTAACCTACGGATGAAGATCCAAGCTGAATAAACAGGACGGCTTTTTTGCCACTTTGAAAGGTGAGGCAGAACTAAAGCTCAGAACATTGTATGCAAGACCTCGCAATACGATATCAACTTTCCGACACGCATTTGAACCGGGACTTTCACATTGCGATATGAGGGGTATATTATAGGAGGGTATCACAAATTGCGTCACCTTACATGCATTCTCAGTGGCGGTACCTCCGGTGTCTATGGAAGTATATGAGTGCCTTATATTCCCCTGTAATTGAAAAGGCATCTGTGCTACCGTCCTGTTAGTACACCTAGAGACAGGATCCACCCTTATGTGCATATTTCCTTTTTGTCGAAGACATGGCTAAGCCTACTGTGCATCGATTACACCAGATCTAGAAATGTCATTCACGTACACATCCTGCCGACTTGATCAAACAAGTTTTAATAGAGATCGCATGGCGCACGTACACACAGGGCTATCTACTCCTTGGGATGGACCACCAAATACGAAATCACCGCAATCACCGAAATCACCGAAGACATCTATCGACCCGCAGATACATGATTCTCCGAATTGCAAATTCAGTGAATCATCGAGTCTTTGAACGCACATTGCGCCCCCTGGTATTACGGGGGGCATGCCTGTCCGAGCGTCATTGCTGCCCCCAAGCACGGCTTGTGTGTTGGGCCCCGTCCTCCGATTCCGGGGGACGGCCGTGCATTCGAAAGATTCTCGTAGTATCTGGTCTCTCCATCAAAAAAGATTGCACTGGAGGTTCTTGTATATTCCGCCCGTGTAGGTGGCTGAAAGAAGGCTTTCCATTACAGACCAAATTAAAAACGTCAGGAAAAGTAGATTGTTCATTTCGTCAAATCTACCACCCAACTCCTGCCATTAGTTAATTCCTTTTTTATTTCGATTCAATCTCCGAAGCCAGTGCCCTCCGCCAGTCGTTGACATTCCCTAAGTTAATACGTTTAATTTACCATCAAATAAAATTTGGTACTTCAACAAACTGGGGAAATTTGGTCAAACTACGGTCTACCCATGCAATTCTAAAGGACCTCCAACAGTTACAAGCCCTCGGCATTTCCATTCAACAAATTATATTTCTCAGCTTCCCATTCATGTTCTTAATAAGAGTGTGAGTATCCATATTGTTGTGTTTTTGTACCTATTAAATGAACATCCAGAAGCGGCGTGCTAAATAGTATCCTCAATAAACTTCAATAAAGAAAGGCTGTCAATAAATAACTTGAGATATCGTGAAAGCGCGGGAAATGGTCTACAATCAACCTGACGATAAGGGCATGTTCTATTTAGATTTATCATTGACGAGACTTCCTATTGGTAAAGATCGTCTAATTCCCCTCTGGTAGGATCTGTGTGTGCTTTTCTCCATCCATACTTTCTGCTTGTAAAGTTTAGTCATAATTTAGTCTGACAGGCATGAACAGGTGAAACATGATGAAGTTTTGTGGGGCTGTTTATTTGATAACACCACTCTGAGCACAAATAAACAGGCATTTTCTGATATAATAGTGCCCAAGTTGAGGGGCTCACATCATTTTGAATGATAAAGTAATGAAGGCGTGTCTCCAAAGGAAGGCTCTGTTTGCCCGAGCCCTACGACCGGTCTCAAGACCTTCCTTCCCATCTGAAAAGCTTTATCGCCTGTCTGGGTTGCAATAAAATACTCAGTGATTTTCTTTTGTCGATGTGGAGGCCGGCTATTGTTCTTCGAGGCCCCGATGCGCATTACAATACAAGCTCGTCCACACCAACGGCTCTGTCCACCCGAAGCTCCATTTCTGCGGCAGTGTAGGAATCACAATTAGTATAGTACCATTCAAATCCATCATTTCTAGGCAGGCACGATTTCGCGCACGAAAACCCCTTACATTGCTGTAATAGTAGTAAAGAGTAGAGGTCATATCTAACAGTGTCAGAAAAGTCTCGGGAAATTGTTTATCCTAAAATTCGGTGTATGTTGTTGTGATATGAGGCTGGTGCAGATCAGGAACAAAGCCTGTTGTCAGTGGTAGTTTACCACTAGAGCTCGTTTTGGACAGGATCCACAGGAGACGCTTGCTAAGAAGCAAGCCCCTGAGTCTGAGTATGTATGTAACAGGGGACGAATGGACTTAGAGGAGGACAGCTGTTTAATGATAATCCATTGCCACGTACGAGACCTTACCGACTCACCGATCGTTAACACCTGTCTATACGAAGAAGAAAGTAGATTCGAAATCGACTTGGAGCTCGTGCTGTATTTATAGCCTCACGTATTCCCTCTGGAATAGGATAATCAATCAAAATGCCTCTATATTACAGCTGATGTCATCAATAAACTCCGAGATATGATTCACACGACCACAATCGTTATGCTTCCGACAACGACTGCAAAGGTTGAACAATGTAGATACATATTATGAATATTGGCTCTTCTCTTTTTCTCTTATCCTAGATCAAATATTTAATTTAAATGCCACATCTTGGATTTAGCCGATCCACAACTATCGTAGCCATACTTCGTGGCTGGCAGGGTTGAATGCGATATAGATGGCCCATGCAGTTGAGAGCGTCAGTCTCGCAAGATAACATCAAACAAACTGACGTATTCCAGCTAGATCGGATAAGCAGATAAAGGGAATTAAAAGAAACATGCGGTCGCGTTCCTTTCACCTTGAAATCGTTTCGAAGCTAGCAGTAAGATAATGCATGGTTTGGTGAAACAAGACGTAACTCTCATCCATCGTTCCGACAAATAAAACACCCGGTTTATTTAGGCTTCTCCAACACGGTTGTTTCAATCGAACTGGTTTTGCTCGAGCGAGAGTGCGTATTTGTGCATTTACCTTTAAACAGGTTACAGCATCCCGACCCCCAAAAAAAGAACACTGGATAATCGAATGAACTACCCACCAAGAACCTTGACCCGTCCATTTATCAAAAATGGGTCCCATAAAGATCATTCTGCCGAACGAGGGCATTGAAATTCTTGAGAAAACCAACATCCAAGGTTTGCACATGCACCTTTGTCAGGTCCTGAACCCCTCTGATAAGTACTGGTTGCTACTCACGTTGAACTTGTGGATAATAGGTCGGGCAACAAGATCCATTTCTTTCTGGGTGGGTGTATTACCCTCAATACTAAGAATACACATCAGACTCGGCATTAGGAACATGGCGCGCCATAGTGGTTGCTTGCTCATCAGAATTTGGCCCGGTCGTTTGGTATAAATAGGCTCTCATGCCCAAGCACGGAATCAACTACCAAGCGACCGACTCTCAGAATGGACGGTCCTCATAACGAGCATGAAACGAAAGTTGAGCATGACGAAGGCAGAGGGAGCGCCTCACCTCGACCCGTCAATGAGCCCACGGTATTCTCAGCGAGAGAGGACCATGGCCAGCAGCTGGTAAGCAACAATTTTGCCCACCTTGCAGCTGTGGACTGACCCTAGGCTAAAGCCACCACATCTACAACTGCCCCAAAACGAGGCACAGGCCTCAGACGCTGAGCCATTCCAGCCGCTCGTCGAGGAGCTGAAGCGACTGAATCCAGATGACCCGCAACTCGCACACCAAGCTGCCTAGATCGTGAGATTTTACCGACGGCTGTATGAATCCTATGTCGCAAAAAAGTCCGAGAGCCTACGTCTTGAGGGCGCGAATGGGGAACTGCGCACAGCAAACATTCAATTGTGCCAAGAACGTGAATATCTGAAAAGTAGATACGCTAAACAAGAACATGAACTGGCCTATTTTAGACTAGCCTTTGATAATCTTGGCACGGGTATTGGTAGGCTCCTAAGGAGCTCAAAGGGCTGCACCTCGGAACCGAGGTGTGAGACACCTACCATAGTGAACGAGGAAGCTCTTTGAAATGTTGTCCCTAAGATTTTGGCTATATAGCATACGAGATGGTGCTAATATCAACGAACGATGGCATATAAGGCAATGTACTGTCAATAACCATCATTGTTCTAGGCGTAAAAACTCAAGTTTTCAAGGCAAAGTTTCGCATTTTGGTGCCCTTGTCATCTCTTCCAGGGTAGGAGAGCCGTTCCTTTCACGCAAGAACGTGCTTCTTGTTCAAGTACTCAACTCCATGGCTGATGATAGATTGCATGACTTCTGAACATGGTTTTACAATAAATCAAATAAGCCAGCCTCGTAGTCAACAAAAAAACAAAACCAACCAGTCCATTTAAAGAGCTCTACCGGTGAACTTTCGCAAGTGGATGGGTATTATACATGTAAAAGTATCCCTCTTCCGCATCATTCGACGTTTCTCTCTCGCCAGCTGCCAGAAAGCGGAAGATGGCCCCCACCCACGAGTGCAGCTAACACAGAGCCAAACAACATGACTATTAGCGCTAGCGCTCTCAAAGACACACACAAAGCGGCTTTTAATCTATGGTATAGTTTTTCGGTATCGAGTGTGGACTTTGTTGGGAATTTTTGATGAATGTCCTTTTTCATGTCTCTCGTGCGAATTGCTGAATTGTTAGAGATTGTCTTTTAGTATTGCTATTGAAGTTCACAAGAAACATACTATAGTGCAGAAGAGGAATACTTTGGCGGCTATATTGATTGCCTGTGACCGTTGACAAGTAGAAGTGCGGAACCTACGAGATAAAGACACCGATGGGCGTAGCTTTATAAGTTACTGCATGAATCGCTTTTGCTCCCACCTCAGCGGTTCTTGAACCAGCTATTGGATTGGTATTATTGGGAATTCCTCGCCAGTTTACTAGTCCCCGAAATCAACTCTCACCGAACGACTTCTGAGCAGTTGAACAACAGTTTGGGGTTTATATATATATCTATCCTCCCTGTGTCATAGAAACGGTGAAGTAAAATATCAGAGGTAGCATTACTCAGCACCGAGCTGCTTGAACAAACCTTGTCCTTTTACCCCTACCTCATTAGGAACTCGTATCATACCCTGCTAAACGCCCTTTGGAATAAATATCATTGTATATTTTTATCTTCTAAATGGTGAGACCAGCTATTTACACACCGTAAATAAACATTTCATCGAGTAGCCTCCGTTCTAACTAGGTTTCATGAAGAAAATAAGCATGACCTGGTTGATCTGATGCTCAATAAAATACTTGTAGGAAATATCACGATGAAGTTGATCACCTTTCAATCTAACGTTAAATATGCCGATCTTTTAACACCCAGTTTTACCTACCCAAGTGTCACCATCGTTCAATTCTCACCATAGTTCAATTCGTCCTTGGCAGCTCAATTTTTAGTTGATATAGCCCGCGGATATCGCCAGATATATATAGCGCGCTATTCTTTGACGAAAACTTTCCCATCATCATTTGCATTATTCCAATAATTTTGCGACAGACATGTACAAGCGTTCTTTGATTGCGTTTTTCTCCCAATCCTTTCGTGGATGCCGATCTTTCGCAACCTCATCAAACACCCCCCTTTGATTTATGCAGTGAATTACCAGATCAACATCTTGTGAGTGCCAACGAGGCAGATATCTATTGTAGTATACTGATTATTGTGTCTTCAGCATTCCGTCACCGACCCTTCTGACCAAATGATGCGTTCTCTACTTCAAGGCTACCGTCCTACTTTCAAGCCCCATAGGCTAGGATGGGAGGCAGAATCACTTCTGCTTCTGACTCCTTCCCAGCAAATGTGTTACTACGATGGTAAATTGTTCGGTGGATATATTGCTCTATTGATGGACCGTATTTTCGCCGACTGTTGCAAACACAAACACAAACCAGCGTTCACTCCTTACCTAAATACGTCGTTCATTCATCCCGTTCCACCTTCAGCGCCAATCCTTCTCCGTGCTTGGCCAGAAAAAGTTGAAGGTCGCAAGGTTTTTCTGAAAGGATCAGTACGAATCCCTGGAAAAGCACCTCATGATTGGGTCGATGCTATTCAGACAGACGCACTCTTCATCAGGCCAAAACCCTGAACATGAAGTGGAACGCGTGGGTCCTTCCTACAGCACGAGTTCTGGCTAGAGAAAACCGTGTTTCATATCATATTTGCCCTTCTGGAAAAAATTAAGTTGTATTGCCATTGTTTCATGATTAGCTAGAACCACATTCTGTTACCTGAGTATTGCATGGCAACTTCAAACTTTTCAATGCATTACAGTGCTACTATATCCCAATAAGTAAATACAGCAAGCACGTGGGTGACTGTCTCTTGCGCGCCGTTTGCAGCGGACGTTCTCAGGCTTGAGCTAGTTGGAAATACAGGTCTCCACCTAACCATTGTCGACCTTCCTGGGCTAATATCAGCTTGAAGGTAGTCGAGAGTTTAGTAGCATCCTATCTGCAACATTCTCGGGCCATCATCCTTGCAGTCATATCGGCCACCAGTGACGTTGACACCCAGGGTATCAGCCAGCGTGCACGACGTTTTGACGAGGATGGTCTCCGAACCGTCGGAATGATTACCAAGCTAAATCTCATCAACGCTGGTACGGAGGCACGCATCACTCGGCTTGCCAACAGCTGCGGCCGCACCAAACTCACACTTGGACTTTTTGTCCTGAAAACCCCCAGCCCGACGGAGCTCAAGGCGGGTATGACCATGGAAGAGCGACGCAGAACGGGACTGGCCTATTTTCCACTGAGCCTTGGAAGAAGCAGGGACTGGATTCTTCACGTGTCGGGGTTGACAAATTGCGATATTTTCGGGAAGAAATCTGGGATAGACTCATCGAGCGTGAGCTTCCCAAAGTTCGTGAAGATATACGTCGTCTTCTCCGGGAGAAAAATGAAGAGCTTGATGAATTTGGAACGGAACGTAAATCTCCAAACCAGATACGCATGTTCCTGACAAAGATTGGCACCAATTACTACAATGTTATCCAAGCCGGCGTTGATGGATCATACGGAGGTCGTGACACGAGCTTCTTTGAAATACGAGAGGGACAATCCTCAGTTCTTCTCCGTGCTACTATCCATATGGAGAATGGAAATTTCTCTGACTACATTAGACAGTATGGTATAAAAGGAAAGATCGTCTCGACGAACCCCTCAGATGACGGTAAAGACAAAGGTGGACAACTTTTTGTGACGAAATAGGGAATGCTTGACTAGATTCCACAGGTATGACTTTCCGCTAGTGAGAGAAATTACTGTGATACTCAACCACTGCAGATTTATGATCAAACGAGGGGCCAAGAGCTACCAGGCAACTACAACCAAGCTCTCCTTGCCGAGCTGTTCCATCTGCAATCATTGCGATGGGCCCAAATTGCTGGAGAACATATCGTGGTGGTCGCGAAGATTGTTTCCCGGTTTGTGAATGCTGCATTGACGTACGCTATCAAAGATGGGAAGGTTCGCGAAAACATTGGTCGCCTAGTCAGCACCACGCTGGAGGCAAATACCGAAGCAGCGGAACACGAACTCGAAAAGATTCTTGGAGATAAAACACGACAGCCAATTACGTACAATCATTATTACACTGACAATATCCAGAATGCAAGAAACGAAGCCTCTAAGGCCTCATTGAAGACTCGGTGCGTGATGCGATCCGAGACGATTGGAACGGCACTCTCCACTTGGATAACACAGAAAGAGCCTGTTTCAAATTGTTGTCATCCCTCAAAAAGCGTGTCATCGTTGACATGAAGGAGCAAGCATGTTCTGAAGCAAAAACCGACTTGACTGCTTATTACAAGGTCTGTTTCATTTAAAACCTAATAGAATATCCTCTGATCATGAAACCAGGTTGCTCGGAAGACGTTCGTTGATAATGCTTGTCGTCAAGTCATTGAGCGACATATTTTTGCCAAGTTAGCCGATGAGTTTAGTCCCATGACATTCAGCTTCTATGTATTCGGAGGAGGAGCTTATTAACTTAGCGGTTGAGTCTACACAGATTGGCCACCTTCGTTCTGAGGCCCGCCGCCTTCAAGTCGCTCTAGAGCAAGGCCTCCGTGGCCTAGCATGATAAAGTGAGTTTGGACTGCTCCGACGTGGTTTTTTACCTACTGGGTTTTCCCACGCTCATTACGCGAATGCGAGAGCAAATGCATATAAATGGCTGCTATTTGCTGCATGCGTTTAATAAAAAAAGCACTGTAACATTATATGCTGAACAAGAGAGACAAGAACTAGACTGCAGAGAGGTAAGATTACTGTAATTTAAACGAGCTCATCGGAGGTACATCGACAATGCAAAGGCCGGCGGAAAGATATCCTAATACGGACTACTACACCTTAGGTGGGACCCGGGAACTAAAGAGAAAGAGACTGGAGGTAAAACTGATTTCGAATATCACTGTACTGTGTACAGTACTAATATTGATTCCGCTTTATGTCTTCTATTCCAAGTGTCACCATGCTTTTTTTCACTCGGACAAAGATATTCCAAAGTCTTCGTGAAACAGAGCGTGTTCCGTCAGGGCTCTGAGGGAGATTCGTCCCCTCCGTAGGATCTACCATAGATTTGTTAGTCGTCCAATTTGGCATTTGTACTCCGCGCGCAGGTATCTCACTTAATTGAGGGAACTCCGATCTGGATGATCCGTGAGAACCGTCTTGCTGCTGCTGCAGGCGCTCTCGGGGATCAGGAGCCCCAAGACTGGTAGGAGGCGAATCGAGATTATCCGAGAACTTTCTTCGCCGTCGGCGTCGTGTTCGGCGGACGGCCACATGGCGAAGCTCTGATAATGTTCGTTTTGAGACGAGCCGTTGCCGCCGGATACCCTTCATCAGCTGATTCTGTTTCCCGCGAAGTGATTCTGGACTTCGGTAGTGACCAAAGGTATCTGAGTACTCATTGGACTTGTCATCCCATGACAAATGCTGGTGCTGCGACAACCAACCCAAAAGATTGACCTCTTCAGCTGAAGACCAGGGGATATAAATCACTTCCGACATGCCGTAGAGTGCGAATATTCGAGCAAATTATTCAAAAGAAGAAGAGGAAAGGAAAGCGCAGCGATTAGAAGAGGGAGGAATAATAGAAGACAGAGGATCCAGAGTTTAATAGGAGTCTAGACGGCTTGGCCGTTGATTCCATAGAGCAAATGGGGATGATAGGACAATGCTCTATCAAGTACGATAGACATAAGCTTGTATCTTTCTTTAATCTCACTATTGCACAACTAATGAACAATATCGTTATGGCTGACTATGAGGGGAGAAGCCCCTACCCGATTTACACAGTGGGGCGCAATGAACAAGGACATGTTTAAAAGCGACCTCGGAGGCAGGTTTTGTTTAAACCGATGAGAACTCCGCTTATGCTTCTCATATCAAAAAGTACCAAAAATTGGGTTGAAATAGATTAAAGTAATATATACTATGACGCGCAGGCGATTAATCGCGATACGAAAAACCCTCACAAATCTGCTAGCTGCGCGTTGAGCCATTACTAATGATATGATCTAAAGTAATGAAACCGTAGAAACCAAAAAGCCAGAATTTACTCAAAAGAACAGCGAAATAAACACTATGGTGAAGAGTCACTCCATTGCTTTGCCAGACACTCGAGAATCTGTTTCCACAATGTTGCTATATTCTAGAGATTATCTGTCCAGCTCGTTCCACCGAAATTCAACACATTATACAAGAAGTCAATGGTACATACTGTAAGACTACATACTCAACTCCCTGATTTATTGGGATAGGTTTGCACCTCGACACATTTTGCGCTTGTTGAACCAAAGAAATTCCCTCAAAAGATTATTCCCTTTTTAAGCCCACCAGCCGTAATATTTGCGTGTGTTTAAGAAGGTGTATCACGGATTGAACGCTCAAACATCCGAGGCTTAACTGTTTTATGAATTTTGAGTCAACCAAATTTTATGATGTCACTGCAGGAATCGGAAAATTTCCATATTATTCCTGTCCACGATTGGAAATAACTGAGCAGTCTTGATTCCGGATGTGACCCTGCTCGGCCCGAGGGCTCATAATGAAACCAAGAAAATAGTGCTCGGCTCTCGCCGAAGCGGTAGCTCTTGCAGGAGTGGTGGCTCTTCAAGAGATCGGTAGCTCTCGCGGGGCGGGACAAGCTCATCCCTGTTGGGGGAGCAAGTGGGTCCTGGTTCATCAAGACCTTGAAACAGCCTTTTTCCCGCGACACCTGCGATACCATTTCCTGTCCACCTAGAGCGAAAGTTTCATGGCTAGATAACAATCATCGCGAAAATGGTGTGGCACGTGAAAAGCTTCGCTGTACGGTTACACTGTGTAGTAGAGATAATGCAGGCAGCCAAAAAAAAGTACTAGTCATGCGGTCCTGTTAGATTGAGGCCTGAGCTTTTCCATTTCTTCGTAAATTGTAAAATCAACATTTGGTTAATAATTCTGGGGGTTTTGGCTAATGGCAAAAGTATCTATATTACTGGATTGTGACCCACATAACTCCACAGCGAAATACAACTACACTAGTTGCTCCATGCAATAAAATTGTGTAATTGAGTTAACCAGCTCTCCGCATTTTCCTATCAAAAATTATATTTTCTGACTTCCCAGCCACTTTCTTGACCAGAGCATCAGCTAGCCCTGCTTTTGTGTTTTTGTTCCTTTGATTTTATCTCTGTATGTTTTGTTAATTTGAATCGTGTCACCCAGCCAGCTTCGGCACTGCTCGAACGGTACACCCCTCCCTTGAGTATTTTACATAATGAAAATACCTGTGCTACTCTGTGTTCTGTTTCCTTGTCTACTACTATTTATTGTATACATAACCGCCGGAGAGCGGTGCCTACTCTTATTATCCAATGCGGTGGTGCAAGGCTCTCGGCTAATTAACTTCATCAGACCAACTTACTTTGCATATCCCGGCTTGAACTAGTCTCATGAATTTGGATACCTTCTGGGATTGTTCAATATCACAGGATGAACGGTTTTGTGGACATTTTCAGAATTTTTATGTATCCAACACAGTTGAATGTCTAGTATTTAGATGCTTCATTCTGTTGCTCGGAACATACCCGCAGCCCTTTCTTACAGCCAGAAATAATCAGTCTTCGAGCGATGCGAAACGAGCCCTCAACATCATTCCCATCGCCACTTTTGTTTGACGTCAAAAACAACAGCAACACATTTCGATTAGCCATATGAGTAGAGCAATAATGGAAAATACAACGGCTAACCAAGCTGAAGTTAATGTTTGGGCCCCAAGGCTAGCATGGGCACCCAATGGGTGTAAGACGCTTTCGATACCACCAGTTATTAGGCCATATATCACTGTCACACCAATGGACGCACCAGTAACAAAAACTGATGCTAGCTTCATCGAAGTCAGTAGATAACGTCAAAGGCTACCAAAGTTGGACCTACAATAGAAGAGGCGATGAGGAATATTTTCCCTTTAGAAAGTATTAACAAGACAACTTGTATAATGATCGTAGCAATAGTGAAGATAAACCCGAGTATGTATGCTAAGATTGTCCATCGTGAGAAATCGTGATAGCCGGCAAGGACTTTATTATCGTTTTTCGGCAACATATCTTTGATCTCCTCGGATGCCGAGCCGAGGATCTCCAGAAGGTCAAACGAAAAGGAAGTACTTGGCTTGGAGCAGTTTGCAAAGGGCCCTGTACTGTTGTCGCCCTGGCAATAGCCCCAGAGCCCGACGGCATAATATGCGGGAAGATGCAACCTAAGATCTTTGGATAGTGTTTCGAGGCGGTCTCTGGCCTGGTCGGCTTTAGTTTGTACCGTAGTGGAGACTTGAGCTACTTCATTTGCAGCAACTTTAGTCGCGCTGTTGGCAGCATCGGAAGCTCCACTCGTGACACTGGACGTGTCCACACCAGCGATGCTAAGTCCTCGGCGTAGGTGGAGACTACTGAGGTCCGGAAAATTGGTCAAGTTTAGCTAACGCCCTGAAATTAGTCGAATGCCAATAAATGACCGATGAAATTACCTTCATGAAATAAAAATCCGAGGGAGAGGATGAAGATGTGCATCCGGCAAACACTATAGCGAGACAAATCAAGCCCGCTATTGAAAGGGCTAAAGGGCAGAACCTCCCCAGAAGTTTCAGTGTGTGCCAGAGCATATTTTATATTATTGACAGAAAGAAATCAATTTGGCTATAAAGTGTGTAACAGAAAGGTTACCGTCTTGCCGGACGAAAGGGGGTTTACAGTCTTTATGGGAACTATCACTTGGAAATGGAATGCATTGTGGTCCTCTATAGAAGGGATCAAACCCCCAAAGCCATCAGTTAAGTAATAAGTTTTATTCTCATCAGCTTCCATATAATAATGAGATGGTACTGGGCTCTCAATTGGGTTACCCATCAGCTATGAGTCCCCTGAAATACAGGTGCAGATATGTCTTAGAACTCTTGTGTGTTCATTTAACTCTTAGTCAAATATTTTATAGTCACTCCTCTCATTGCTGCGATAAATTGAGGCATCCCGTACTCTGAGATACACCAGATCCAGAGAAATGATGGCAAAGCATTTTTAATAATGCGAGTATGTTCAAACTGATGCTGTCCACCTCAAATGTGAGCTTTCGCCTTGGCGAAGGTTTTGCGGCTTCTGTGAAGGTATTGAGGAAGAGTGGACATGTTATAAATATACAACTCCCAAGTAATCCTTTCCGTCTCCCATACTGGCAAGCAAGATTTTCATTCGCAAGAACATCATCATCCAAGGCAAGAAAGAGGGAGACTATGCCGTCTACTTCCACTTCAAACAGAGTACCGATCTCGCGCAAGATACGAAAAAAGCTGGCAAAGCAGCGTGAAATTGAAGTAGAAGAGTGCAAACTTTCCATATACCGCAGAAATTGCTTCCAGGGAGCCGCTATCGTTAGGCTCAGCGACCTTAAGTCTGACACAAACTTCAACCGAGAGACCAACAATCCTCCAAATATCGCTCGCCTGGAGCAACTCTTTAACTACCATGGATTCCTACGTCTAGATGAGAAATACCACATACCCGTCATGATTGATACTTCCGAATGGGGAAAACGAGTGAAATGGCAAGACCCGAAAAGCTTAGCACCAGAAGTGCCGCTGCCAGAATTGGAAGTAGCTCTCGGTTGTCATTTATTTGTACTTGATCACGAGGATGTCATTGCTGCAGCTGAAAAGAGGTTCAAAGAATTGAACGTCGAAGACCCATGGTGCGTGGTCGACGTCTACGTTACTGAAGCTGAAGAAGCCTGTGAGTGAGTTACATATCGGTCATGACCGCTTAGATTATGATGAAGATCGGGAAATTCAGGATTTTGTATATTCTGACTGGTAATCAGGTGACCAACGTGACGAGCTCATTCGCACCCTCCAGGAAAGTTATTCAAACGATCGATTTCCCCCGGACGGTCGAATTTATCGAAAAATCCGCTCTTACCAAGGATATCCTCACAGACAATCATCCAATAAGGCAGCGGAGAATTACTGGTGGGCTGTCTTGGAAAGTTCCCCAGGGAGTAGGAAAGGGGGTCGAAGCAGGAAAGGAGGTTATCTCAAATCATTACTGAAACATAAGTCGTTACGCGAAAGGTTTGATGATCTTCTTCCAGTTGATGGTCTCTGGGATGACATGAGTATTGGCGTATTACACAAGCTGTTGGCGATGAAGTGTGACGAGGTAATATTGTTCAAAGTTATTCCTTTATGCTCATTGGCAAGCTAATAATGGTTAAATTGTAGCCAATCATATGTTATTTGAGGAAAATTAAAGATACTTTCTACAAACTGGCGGGAAATGACAATACTATTTTGGCAGCCGTTGATGGAGGGACAATCAAGAAAATCAAATCGCTGGCGCCAAAGGTTTCCAAGGGAGATCTTAAATTTTTAGAGACGGGAATGGAAAACAAGGATCTGTTTGCTGCTATTGTGGCTCCTCAGGATCGTGATCGGATCTTCCATTATCTGCGAAATATTGACTATCCCATCCCCACCCTAGAGACATTCTTTCAAGACATACTATATCTCGACGTATGTCAAAATGTCATGCGGCAATTATGTATAAACCAGCCGAAGAGGAAGACCAAGCGAAGGAGAAATAGCGAGGAGGAAGACAACCAAGAAGAAGAAGAAGAAGCAGAGGGAAGAGCTCCTACGATTGACGAAAGTTTGAGAAGCCAATATAACAGTATCCCTGAAGGTGGGCTTATTTCAAGCGCATATATCGACGTATTGCTAAAAAGGGACCTTTGCGACTTGTGGCGTTTCAGTTTCCAGTATGCGTTTGAGATGACAACAGTGAAGGAACACCGCCGCCGTGTTCCGCGAAAACACGTTGATGTTGAGCGTGCAATTAGCCTGGGCCTTCACGAGCGCCATAATAGTTTTGACTTAGCGGACCTTCGGCATCACTTCCTCTGGCTGGCTAGTAATCGCGGGTTCGATGTTCCCGCCAACAATGAAAGCCAATTACAACCCGTTGAACCTCCCCGAGCCATGCAAAGTGATTTCCCACCTGACAATGAAGATGTCGGTCTGGAGAGACGAAGCGGAAAGCCATTTACGGACTCAGTAGACGCTGACCGGTTCGCCCTCTCAAGGGAGTCATTGAGAAGTGCTAGCGATTACCAGCGAGTCAGCGCAGCTTTTGTGCGTCGTTCTGTCTTTCATGCTTTCTTTGCATACTTTGATGCTGGAATACCAGACAGTCCGGTTCTATCTCCACGTAATGTTGCAGCCGAGCGGTCCCCAGATGAAATCGACATCCTACTTGCAGATACCGAGGCCGCGTGGGGAACAGAGGCAAGAGACCATGGCATAATCGCAGATGGCGAATTTGCATGGGCGCCATATGCGGGGGTCTCTAGCGTACCCCATATCCCAATGGATGATAGAACCACTTATGCGGAGCCAGCTAGCTGGGATCAGCAGTACAGGATTGGTCCATTCTAGCAGGGAAACCAATGGGGAGCCCAAGTAATGACTACCCCCTTCCGAATGAAGATCGATTCCGGACAGCCGTTCTCCGAGGAGCTTTTATTGCTCAACTTGTCAGCATTGAATCCATTATTTGAAGGGTTAGATGACCACGATCTCCACATATGGCTTTCAGAAGATAAAACCAGAGGACTTTGATACGGACAATATCGCAACAAGCCTAGCTCTCTGCTATCCGCTTCTTACCAAGGAGTAGATCAAACAAGACCACATGAGATGGTTGGATGAGGAAAAATTCTCTTGCGGAACATGCTGCCTTCTTCAGTTCGCTTTTCTCGCATATTATTGCATATTAAATATTACCAGTCGAATTAAAGGCTAATTTGCGGGGACAACCATGGAGCTAATAATCGGGTTGGTGTGAACACCAATGGGTTATATTCGAGATGATTGGCAAATAGGACTTACCTCAAGCACACATCGTTCGTCAGATAGTTTCAATGGAGGATTCATTGCAGTATTCCCCTCCAATTACCTCAAAGTGCAACATGTAGATTGAGTATAACAGCCGAGCTCAACATTTGCCAACGCTCCAGTTCCGAGAAAGCAGGATATAAATGTCCTCTCGGTTATTGATAGTTTACTAACCGTCTCGCACTCGTAGTCAGAAGCCGGTTTTGGAATACAAAGACAGCCACTGCGGCACAATCGGGGTGTGCGAAGGGAGTGTATGAATGGTCCGAGAGGATGAATGCGCCTATCGGAGTACCAATAACCGTAATTTAATTTTGCTTGCACTGGAAACTAGTACCGATCTTAGTCGGCCGAAGCGGTGTCGTCCTAGCTTACCTTCCTATGATGTATGCTAATGGAGCAGGGTAAAAGTCACGGATACTGGGATCTACAACTGGATAGTGATTTATAAAGCAGGCTTTTGGAAGCTACTCAATCCCTTTTGGTCACCTCATAGGAAAAGAGGCCAAATGGCTCCAGAACCAAGTCTCCATAAATGACAAAATAATCATAGCCTCGCCTGCGGCAAGCTGTTGTGGGTTATATTCACCCAGGAGCTTTGGTATACGTGCAGCAAAGTATAACTAGCAGCCAAAATGAATATTGCAACTGGACCGCTTCCCCAAATTGTCAGGGTAATCGAAGATTACCTACATACTGTACAGCTAGTAACTATATTGCCTAGTATTGCATTTGAAGGAATTCTTAGATTTACTTGTTGGAATTTGATACTTAGTACAGTAATATGAACTGGTGCTAGTCAATATCGGTTTCATTCCTCTTCTGTGGCATGGGGTTAGAAGCAAACTTTTATGAAATATTTGACCCGACATATCCCATCCCTCCGTATCGCTTATCCAACCAAACTTTTGGCACCAAGAGAATGAATATCGCAGATTTCGAAAAGATTCTTCAGTATTCTCTTAGCCGTCTGAAATGCATCTATAGAGAACGCCACAAGTAATTCTTGATCTGCCTGGCGACATCTTAAATATTCTTGTTCTTGGCATAGCTGCATGTTGATGATTTGGAGTTGTTGGTATGTCTCGCCAAGTAGTCGACATTCCGTCGATTTTGAGACGTACAACTCCCATAAGGGACGATAAATTTCAATCAGGTGATTCGCCTGGATAAGAAGTTTTGGTGCATTGGAATTGAGGCACTCCATTTTCGAAGAGAGGGGACTAACGCATCCCACTAAAGCTCCAAACATTGCGATCTAGGCGAGACCTGTAAGTTTGAACGCTTCTTTATAACAGATGTCGGGGATTAACACTCACAGATTTCTCTATGTCCAGGCTGTCTCCAGGCTTTGAATATTTATGCAGCCCAAGAGTGATTAGATGCCTTCTTATGCGTACAGCATCCAGCTATCATTATCCTAAGTGAAACTAAAACTCTTCAAGGTATAAATGGACATTTTCGAGATCAGAAAACCTAAATATAGCGGGCTCAGCTTTGTTGCACAATGTGTAAATTTTTAGTTGAGGCATTCCGCTTATGTGAAACTTGATGCCACACCCTGACAGCAAGTTATGTATTTATAATAGAGTATTATTTCATCGTGTGATTATCTCGAAGTGACCCTAAAGCCTTCAGCTTATGGTTCCCAAGCACTGAATTAACTTAACCCTCACCATTGGGTTTCCTTGTACAGTAGATTAGTAGAATGCCCTCCCCTGAAATCATTTTCGGTATGCATAGATGTGTCAATGATTATTCCCCCAAATTATATTGCTCTCGATTGATTTACATGATTAATGCAGGTTGGCAGCAGGTCTAAACGAGGCTCCAAGTTTGTCTAAGAAGTGTCACAGCCTCACGTACATGGATTTATGTATTTATGGTAGCCTGCATATCGCTTCGACAATTGGGTCACATGACGTGATGTATATAGATCTATCTATAGTATAATAGGAGTAGCTGCCTGCTGGCCGCCGTTCCGCTAGGCAGAAGCAGCTACGACTATAAGTAGCTGGATGTTTTCTCTTAGACTGAAAAGAACAATCACACTTGTACCTCAACTCAGGGTTTCAACTTCGACGAGGGGCCGGGGTAAATAATTTACACACACATACTGTAGGTTGGCTAGCTTGAAGCTTTTTCAATTTTCCAAATCACATTTAGTTGCATAAGAAGATTCAGGCTCGGTACAGTACTTGTCAACGAGGGATCTTTGTCAGACTGAGGGGATGCTGAATAACAAAATACAACGTTGCAGTTTGAGGAATCCGTAGTTTTTAACCCCAACTGGGTTGACAATTTCCATCAAAATCATTTGTGCTGAAGTCTCGAGAGTCCTATCCGTCACCACAACTTTACAATCTGTCGAAGGTGCTGGTCATAGTGAATAAAACTAAAGATGTTCCTCAAAGCTCCGTGGTTCCCCATCTTCAGCTCTCTAGTGAATGGATATAGAAATGGAAGACAAGGCTCCATGTGGAGTTTGAGCCTATATTGACGGTAATTTCCGAAAGAGTCAACAAACTTAGTAATATCCATATCCATTCTAATGCCTGCTTTCGACATTCCAGCGAGTGTAGCAGAAAGGCAAAAGAAGTTTCGGAGGTGATAAAGTTCCTGCCCCGAGTTAGCCAGCGCAGATGAAGATGAACAGGGTATCTACCTTCGCGAGTCCCATTAGCTTATCATCAAATTCCCCGGTGGATGCAACATCCTCTACATCATAGTGTAGCTGGTCCCATCGTAAAGCCAGGCATTGGAGGTGGCAATCATTCTCGTGTATACTGTGAAGGCTTATTTTGCGAAACTCAGCAAATGTATCTCGACTTAAGTCCCAAGCCATTTTGGCAGCGCTATTTTCACTCAAGGCCATGAGAAAGTCTGTATCGGTCTGAAAATCCCGGCCCTACGCTATATCGGTACCTGTTCGATAGCGCTTATACCGATTTTTGAGTACAGCCAATCGCCGGAGCACATTTTTATCCGGTTGTGAAAGCATAGCTTTGAGGGGGAGGTAATGACAGAGGCATCCAGGCCCAGATTGCTGTAGGTCTTGCCATTCTTGAAGCACACAAGGGCATGTGTGATCGTGTCATATAGGAAGCGATCGTTTGGTCGAACTTTCTATTGGTCTCGTCAACTCACCGCACTGAAAGCCACAGAAGAGCTTCAACTGGATAACAAACCTCTGCCACGGAATGATACTTCTCTGTCTCTCCCGGGGTTTGGCACAGGAAGGAGAATAAGGAAAAGCCAAGCCTGTGGTGATAAGATTCGAACAGACTAATGGCTGCCGAGGGCATTTCCATCACGTGTTCGACCCAATGTTCAAGGCGGAGATCTTTAAATAAACTCCAATTGTCTCGAAGAAGTTTCATTGACACATTACCTGCATTCTCTTCCTTAGAGAATACCTTCCAGGCCATTCCTTTGTCGTCGTGGCAGCAATCTCCAATTTGGGTCTCAGGAAGGAGAGTCGGATCTGACGCGTAGTGTAGATCCTCGCTATACCCAGACAGCTCACCTCGAAAATCGACTTGTTCCACCGACCACGGAAATAAGAAAGTGGAATGTGTGGGAATGGGGGATAGATAAGTGGGTTCTTCCATCGCGAATATAGAGGTTTGATTTTGCCTAGATTGTGCCCGAAATAACTGCCAATATGTCATTCATAGGAATAAGGAGAAATACGGATTTTATCAGATTGTAAAATGTAGAGAATATACTTGAATAATTATGGCGCTCAGCGTTTTTATAGTTTTGTTATCTTAAGAATCTTCCCAATAGTGGACTCGCAGTTTCTGTTAATTATCTCCTCATGGGTCTTGGTGCCGGATATCTTGGATGAGAGGATTATGTCTGTTGGGATTATATATAATAAACATAATACTAGTGCCATCCTTGTAGAGAAAATTTTGACTCGTGTTGAAAATTTTGATTCTGTTCAAGCGAGATAAGCCCATGTTCAATTCAGTTTGAATTTTATTAAACGTCACCGCATATTGAGTGTCTTTTCTAATCTTTGACTGGTTGGTCTCTAGGCGCATTTCAAAGGTATGTCAAACTATAGATTTGCGTCATGCACGGCAACAGTCTCATAACTGCCAATTAATATGTAGCCCAGGTCTTGAATAGGAAAAATAGCAGAATAAACGAATATCTATCGCCCAGCACCGATGCGAAGCGGTTGGGCGAAGTTAGGGGAAAGACCCATCCACCAGATAAAAGCATTTCGAGTTTCGGTTTTTTTTTGCATATGCAGGAAGAGCTGTCTGATGCAGCCGTAAACATTAGTTCCAACCTCATCCTAAGAATCTGTAGTGTTTCAAGATCGGTGTAGGAGCCAAGCAGGCACCCCCTTTCTGTATTCGAATCCAGGCTCGCAAAAACATAGAGAACATGTGTCAATTGCTACGCTGGATGATCTTGAGTGTCCATGTTGTGCGCGTAGGTATCCTGACAATGCTTTATTAACTTTGGGCCATGTGTTTAAAACCTTTCGCTTGTAAACCGAGCCTATATAATACGCCGCGGGGAGGAAGCCCGCAGAATAAGTGATATATATAAACGTTGTCATAATAAACTCCAGTGCGTAATAGGAAAGTGCAATACAGGCGAAACCAAGTACCGTATGAAAAAGCAAGTTAGGCGCATTGCGAATAATGAATAAAGGGAAAATGATAGAACGAAGAACTTCCTCGATCAAACCCTGGGATATGGTCTTAGCAGACGAAAACGAAGAAAGACTGCAAGGATAGCTCAGCCGTAACTACGCCTAACCGGGAGATAACAATTACTGTCGTCAGATTTGCGACTGCCAGATATCATAAGTCAGGAAACTAAGCCGACGTATCTTTGTGGTGGTTGTCTTCAATGCCTGCAGACACCACCAAAATCTTCATTGCCCCCTTTAAAATAATCGCCCACTAAACCAACTCGAAAAATGCTGAATTCTTGATGGGCTTTTTCTTATGATGGATCAAACTCCCTTGGTTAATAGATATAATGAGCATACTAGCCTGACGTATAAATCCCTACAAGTGGAACCACAGAGTCGCTGGTAAGCACAAACTTTGGCTCTGCCTATAGGGCTATCTCGAGACTTGGAACAAAAATTTATTACTATCTCCGATGGATCGCATTACCAAAAGTCCGGCACCTCTGAGTGATTCTTCGGCAAACTATAAGTTAGCCCAAAGCCTGCATGACTGTAGCAGCCCCCTTGCGTCTCTCGAGTTGAATGACCTAATGCCACCTTTGGTTGACAGTAATGACCATGCTTTATTGCTACACCCATCACTGAAAGAAGAGGGCACCATATACCGTCCCATGAGTCATGTGGGTAAGACACAGCTGCAGTACTTGTCAATTTCGCAATTCAGCGAGGAAGTCCTTTATTTTCTCCACTTAAGCCAAAGCAAAGTGGCGCATTCAGATGATGGAACGTTACAGCAGCAGCATGGCGTCCTGCAAAATGTCAATCCAGCTATGACAGGAATATCTTCGGTAACTCCTCACCACCTCATGAGACCAGTGGGTCGCAACGCGATAACGAAGACACTTCGAAAGCCCTTACTCAATCATAGCTCGCGGGGCAATGCGAAAAACCGCATCAAAAGGCAGCTTCAACTGCTCCAGCATCATCTCAAAGAGCAGATGGATCTGCCAAATTATGGAACCCAAGAGGCGATTTTGCAAGGGCTCTCAGAAAAGCATCCGAGGTATACTGGAATTATTCGTGCCCTTCCTTTGGTGGCAAAGTGTATTCCAGATAATTTGAAAAAGGAACTCATGGCGAAGACCAACTCAGACACCATGAAACTTGGTATTTTGCTGATTAAAAGGTGGAGTATTTGGGCGGCTTCCTCATAATATAGTTCATACATACTGCGCTTATTCGAAATCGGCTACTAGGTATTTATTGAAACTTGTCAGTTTACTCGACATTGAAACAGTGATCTGTGTCCGGAAAATGGTTACCAAAAAGCTATTCGTAGACTATAAAAATACTTGAAAATGGTCTAAGTATGAGCAGCGCAAAGAATGGGAAGTCGTGCATGGGTAGGACTATACAATTAGCCTTCGTATAGAGTTTCCGGAAACGGGTGAGAAGGTCAACATCTTGCGAAGTTTCCAAGTTCCTGATAATCGTTCGTAGAGCTCACGCCTAAATGGCTCCGCGTTCGTTCAGACAACTTAAGAGCTTGGTCGAGGGAAAGTTCTTTCAATGCTAACAGGCCGGTTTCTTTTAATTTCCGTTGCACACATCCGTCCCGAATTGTCTAACTCCATTGGAAGCCTTACGTTTTCTCACAGGCCGTGGAGGGAGTTCCGGTCTGGACTGTCCTACTCGGCTCAGTAGCAATGACTATCTATCAGCCAGTCATCCAAAGCGGTAAGTATTTATGGGGGACTTCTTCCTTACCCAGCTGAGGAGTTCTTGTACAGACCGTTCGAGGCCTGCTAATCGAATTGGAGTTCTTCACAAGGAAAACGCCAATAGCGTCGCAGGAATGGAAGTAGCATCTTGAACTGTCTTTTACTGACAGTAGGCCCTCCCGTGCCTCACACTTCCAGGGCTGTTGATCTTTGATTCGCCGCTTATCATTAGCCAGCTCACCTGGAGATAACCACGCACATTTTAATTGGATATCGTACGCGCCCAAACCCAGTTTCAACTTTCAACATAAAGAGACTGCCCAACTCCAACAAACGAATGGCCCCATGCGTTTAGCCTGAATCCTGGTCTTGCATTGCATAGGGTATGTTCATAGTTTGGCTTTGATCCACGCTAAACTAGCACTTCCCACCGTCATCGCAGCACCCCCCAATTGTGCAGCTCCATTGACAATCACAAGGCCACTTCCTCCTGCACCAGCGCTCTGTCCTATGGCCATCGCACTCCCAGCTGCAGTATTTCCGATCAAACCATGAGCGACTGCTGCTGCTGAACCTAGGTATGAATGGTTATTCGAGCTTCGGGGCGCGGGAAACAAGGTTTAAGCTGTTGATTCCTGCGAATTTGTATATACCTGCGTGGATTCCGCCTGTTGTGAATCCCATACTCGATAAAACTGGGGCCGTTGCGAGGCCGGGAGCAGCGAAAACCACAGCACCACTAGCGCCCACGACCACACATGCGCGGCTAGAACAGGATTCTGAGTGCTCCATCCTGCTACCTATTGTAATTTAGCATAGAAATACTCTCTGTATGTATGGAGCTGTATATTAACCTGAACGGTCACATTAACGGGCTTCTCGAGGGCGGACTTTCCATAAGCAACGGCGAGCTTTCCGCCCTCCAGCCCCGCTTGGAGAATTTTAGTGGCTCCGGTGACGTCCACGGGTAAATAATTTAGAATAGGCATAGCCAGGTGGGTGAAACTGTTCAGTTGCAGAGATTAAATTCTGCAATCCACTGGAGAAAACTAAAAGATTGGAACAAAACACTGAGCAAGTGACATTAGGAATGGTGGAAGAATTGAAAACTTAGGGTGGTGTTCCAGACGCAAGGGGGTCTCCTCAGGCCTAATATCCTCCACGGACTCTACATTCCAACTCATTCACTGGTTGGAATGTTGATATTCAGAATCGAATTTGCTGCATATGCACCATTCCTTGGCTGGAGTACATAGCCTAGGCCTTTCTGATTTTGTGCTAATGGAAGCCGATAAGTATCCCCCAGTCCCTTTCTCTCAATGATTATTTCCACTACTTTTCGAGAGTCTCTCAACTGAAAGAGACCAGAGCCCAAACAAATCGACAATGCCGTCCGTTATCCCAAGCTCTGATGTCGAAAGCCTTAGTGAAGGCCGTGATACTGATGTCGTTATGAGCAAAACCAGGATGCATTTACGCATCCTTCATGCTGTAAGTCTAGTCCATTTCTCGATAAAACTCCACGCTAACATCTTTGTCATAGGAACTTGAGTACCTGTCAGAACAAAATGTTCGATTCGAGAATCCTGAGTTCCAACGACTTGCAACTCTAATAGCCGAAAAATTCCCTGGAAACGTTGTTGACAATGAGTCGGCCCAATTCCCAGAGGCAGCTGATGTCAAAAAAATGGGAGGTTCTACCCGTTCCTCTAATGTTCCTGGTGAACAAACCATACACTGGTAAAACCCACGAATTTCTTACAGCGAGGCCGGGGGACTTGATCATCGTCCATGCATGGATTCAAGGGAACCAAGCCATGGGTTACAATGAAGCAAATGATTCTTTTGGCTGCATTCCGTCTACGTTTCTGAGAACAAATGGGTCAGAGCCAAAACCCCTCCATGAAACTTTTCTTTTACCTCAGGAGTTTCGTGGCCCGCAGGATTCGGCATTTTTTCTGCCGTGGAAGTCGGGAGACCGGATCAGAGTTTGCAAGTGGGGGGATGGCTTTGATAAAACCTATTACATCTTAGATTGAAATGTAACGAAAGAAACAACCACCAATGCTCAAAAACTCACCGAGTACAGATTTATGTGCTTGAGATCGAGAGGGGTGGTCTCAGATAATCAACAGATGGTCAGGAACTTAAGGTGCCGAGCAACGGATCTAATATCTAGGACGAAGTTAGCGGAGAGGGACGGGCCGAGCGGGAGTTTGCCACGAGAAAGTTATGGTACCACTCGTATATGATTTTCAAGTAAAGTACAGTGACTGGACATAAGTAATTACACCCCTTGGCCCCACACCCCCTGATTATATAATATACTGCCAGTCAAAAACCTCTAACTATAAATTCATAATGAAATCTAGTATGGCGTATACCACTCCAGTGGCGGTGAGCTGGGTGGGGCTATAGGGGGTGTAATTAATTATGTCCACTGACTGCTGTATATCGATCATAGTTTCCGTAGCCTCATGTAAAATACATATTTTCTATTCTGGGTTCTGGAAAGCGGGGGATCTAGAGCCAATCCATATTTAGATTAGTGCGTTTCAGATTTGGGTTCGGGAATGAATTTGTGAGAGTATGGAGGTAAGTCTGATTTCGAATATCACTGTATAGAGTTCGCGATCCTCTCAGCGGCCACAGAAATCCAAGCAAGGAACATCGCGCTTCGTCTCCAATGGATACCGGGACATTGCGACGACCCAGGGAACGACGCGGCAGACCGACTAGCTCGGGAGGCTGCGCGCCCAGGCAAGACCCACCCCTTCCGACCGTTGCTGACAAGGGAGAACGCGTACATCCGTGGAAAGATTCGAGCTCAGTGGGAGCACGAGTGGAAATCCAGCACCAAAGGCGGTCATTTAAGGAAAATCGACAACACGCTGCCGGCAGCGCACACTCGGAAATTATATGGAAGTTTGCCCAGGGGCCGGGCGTACCTGTTTACGCAGTTACGCACGGGCCACAACTGGCTGTCTACCTACGCCAAGACCTTTGGTTTCCGCGAGGATGACCAGTGCGTCTGCGGCGCGCAAGAAACAGTCACCCATGTTCTGGTGGACTGCCCAAGTCTGAGGGAATTGTGGAGGGAGCTCAGAAGAGAGGTTGGGGACGCGTTCAATAGCGTGTCGAGTCTGCTGGGAGGCTCAACTGAAGGTGAGAAAGGTAAACCAGACACCGTCTCGCGAGCCAAAACGGTCAATGCCGTGCTGGACTTCGCCGAGGCGTCACAGCGGTTTCGCAGTCGCGCGCCACGAGGGCAGCCTAACAATGGGAGCGGCAATTAGGCCACGAGAGGCCTTGACGAGGCTCTAAGTTCGTTTTCAGGAAGTGGACCACTCTACATGTACATACTCGGATATATATAGTTGTTGTATCCTGCATATCGCTCTCAAATTGCGAGGTGTCAGGGTAAATGAGAAACACACACACACACACACACACACACACACTGTATAGAGTTTCCGGAAAAGGTGAGAAACCAGGTCAAAATCTTGAAGCAAAATTACCAAGTTCCTTGTTTATTATGCAGTCATATGATACTCGTTCGTAGAGCTCACGCTTAAGTGGCTCCGCGTACGTTCAGACAACTTAAGAGCTTGGTCGAGGGAAAGTTCTTTCAATGCTAACAGGCCGGTTTCTTTAATTTCCGTTGCACACATCCGTCCCGAGTTGTCTTACTCCATCGGAAGCCTTAGGTTTTCTCACAGGCCGTGGTGGAAAGATGGTAATCCCACTCCACACAGGTCCAACAAAATTATCGGCGTGGACTGCACACCAATCTGAGTCCGTTCTAGCATCGCGGAGTCGTCTGATGGTGAAGCTGATGAAGTGCTATCCTTCAGTGTTAAACGTAGCCATATGGTTGATGAAATAGGTAGGAAGTTGATACGTTGGTTAAAAACAATTAAGTTGTGGGAAATTATCATGTAGTGCTGAGCGCTGGCGAAGCTGATATCTATCTGCGAATTGGGGATGATCCTGGGATGCTTTTACGCGATTGTGCTCTGAGAGCGAGAGAAAAATAGCACGACCTGATGAACAACCAGTAGCCATAGTTGCTGCAGACATAGCAAAAATGGAGGGTGAGGCCGGTTGATATTCAGCAGGCAACCATACGACGTTGACTCCATCATAGGTTATCCAGGACTGGTCTTCATTGAAGCCATACCCATATTGCTGTGGCAAGGAGGTTGAGCAGTGAGGCATGGACGTGATAAGACCCGCGACCAGGAATCAAGATAACCGATTCACTATGCCCTTCGAAGGTTGCCACGCGCCGGCCGGTTGTCGGATCCCAGATCCTGACTGTCCCATCATTTGATAATGATGCTAGTGGCGAAGGTCTGATTCTAGATCATGTCCTTGGACGTTGTCGGATTCTGCAGGGCCATTCGTACGGCACGCAGATAAAATGATTGTGCCAGGTCCACTCTTGGTTGGGATCCACTTGCTCAATATCATAGTCTCGGAACAAAGTGGCAGCAAGCTTGGATATTTCAAATTGAGCAAAATTGCGCCCGGGGCATGCGTTGTATCCGGCCCCCCACTATGCAAGGGAAATAGGCATTAGTAAATTTTGCAAGATAGCAGTCAGATGGGATATATGCATACATGGATCAAGAAGGCATCCATTCGTCCAGCTTGTTTCTGGAGCCAGCGGTCTGGGTTGAAGCTGTCGCAATCCTCCCCGAACAGGTCGGGGTTCCGGTGAATGACCCAAGGATTTATGCTAAGAACTGTCTAAAGATTCCCGACAATTAGAACCGGATACCTAATACACCAAATGAAGGGTGTGGGGAGAAGTCTTACCCCTTGTGCGAAATGTCGGCCGGCGATTGTGATTCCACCTCGGGGCGCGACTCGTGGAAGACCCAGTCCAACGGCGGTGTGAAGTCGGTATGTCTCTTTTATCTATTCGATGGTGTTAGAATCACGTACGTCAAACGGGGTGAGTTCCTAAAAATACACAAGCTTGAAGGAAGGGCAATTTCTGCGCTTCGGAATATTGAACGATAGGCGACAGCTCTTCGCGGGCCTGGGCAGCGTCGAGTTCCTCCTGCACCCGGGCCATATATTGAGGATGGCGAATCAGGAAATAAAAGAGCGCTTGTATCGTTGCGCTAACAGTGTCTCCACCAGCACCAAGAGTACCAACGGCGGTGGAAAAGATTTCAACCTCTTCCATACGATCAGGATATTTGGCACGAGTGTCAAGCCACTTCTGCATCATGTCATTTCGCTTTGCAGGGTTTTCCTTGCGCGCATCGATAGCCGCAATACAAGTGTCAAATACGTGCGAAGATGGCTGGATACCTAGTCGACTAAGAAGCGGGTTCCCAAGCGTCAGGTTATGGAACCAGGCATAGTAGCCCATCACAGCGGCATAGGGAGCTAATAGTCTCTGGTTTGCAATGGCGTCTCTGACATCCTTGCCTTGTTCTAGGAAGCCAAAGGATTTCGAGAAGATGACTTCGCCCACAGCGTCGAATGCGAAAAAGGTGAACCACCGATCCAATTCAACCGGTTGGCCGGATCTGCAAAATTCGTTCAGGCGGGTGGTCAAAAGACGCAGAACTGTGTCGAAATGCGGCTCGTGCTTGATGATATTGGAAAGAGCATATCCCGACGCGATGTTGCGCTGCTTTCTGATATGTTGTTGGGGATCCAATTCCGACATCTGGTTCACATAGCGATAATCCGGTAGACTAAGGATTGCATACCAGGGGCCCTGTTTAATAGATATTTAGTGTAAAGCTCATATGAGGAAGAGGAGCTCACCATACCTTGGCAATTTGGGCATGTAGGAGTTGTCTAACGGCATCTGGGTGAGAGACGCTGACTTCGTTTGGCCCGATGCGAACAAAATACCCTGACATTGTACACGATAAGAATCTCCATTGTGTGGCAAAGGGGGTTGGGGGAGATGTAGACAAGCCTACCATGTTGTTTGTGCAATTTGATTGTTTCTACTTCGGTATGGCCTTTCAAAATTTGGAGAACCTGCCAAAGTCTCGAGAAGGATGCTAAAAATGGGCCGGGAATATTTCTGATCGACGTCCAGTATCGTCTAAAGACCGCGCGAGCAAAAAATGCGCCGAAAAGGGCCAACGCCCAGAGAGGCCAACCACCAACTGACACCACGAGGTCGTGTAAAGTGAGAGATGTCATCTCAAATATGACTGCCCGCTGTGGTGTCCCGGCTCCAAGGGTCAGGTTGAGAACAGGGGGACAGCATAATCAGAATAATATCTGACGTGGAGTAAATTTCCTTGGCCTCTGACTAGGCGCTGTCACAATAGGACCCATGGTGGCATATAGTGCTCGGATTCCGCCGTCAATAGCACTAGTCGGCTTATCTAGGAAGGAGCAGCAGCTTAGGTTTTGCTGACGAGCGCCCGTGCGATCGCCAACTACCTTTCCTCAAGCCGGTCTCTCTTTGGCCCGAAAATCATATCCACTTGGCAACAGATCGACTCATAGATGTTGGCTTTCAAGATTCTTCGGTTTCTTCGTGGATCATGTTTCAACTGGGTCTTGCACCTGGGTCAGCGATGGAGAGAGGCAGTTGTCCCTAGATTTTAAGTCTCTGCTAATGAACAAGACAGTTGCCAAAACCAACTTGGCGCAGAACCTCGCAGTACCCACCGTTGCCTTGTCAGTGATTGGCTACTGGAATGGACTACTTACGGGGACCAAACCCCTCTTTCCCGTGAACTGCTTTGCCGTCCCCTTTAGACCTCGGCAAGTCTTGTGCAGAAATAATGGATAACTCCTCCCATAATAATGGGCAAATACGAGCCATCTGTTTACCATTATCGAGCAAGTCCGAACGAGCCACCAATTTTTTCCATTTCATAGCAGAAATACACGATTACTGTACCCCTAAACAGTAGGGTAGTACTGGCAGTAGCTATGGGCAACGTCGGGTATATAGAGACTAGTATGACAACAAGGGGTATTCCGAGATTAAGGGATATTCTTGCGGAAGCACCGGAAGAATCTGTGGTCCGTGCAAATCCCACAAAGGCTTTGCGTTAAGTCACAATTTGTTTCAAAATTGCCTGATAATCAGAAAGGAAGAGAATCATATACATATTCCATACATAAATTGAGCCTCAAATTGGTCTTACTACATAAATAAAAACCCGCATGGGGCCGACTGGAAAAGATTCTTATCTGTAAAACTCACCTGCACATCTTGCTGCATTCTTCCGACTGCCCCATGTTGAGTGCGCCTAGCGTCCTGGCTCCCTTCAAATAAAAATACTGCCACAAAACCATGCATGTGTAGTGCATGACCCCTCTTAAATTGGGTCCCTGATCCTGGTCACCTTTCCTTCATCTTTCCATATTCCATAACTGTATCCATACCACACTTCTCTATCATGGCTAACATGATCAACAAGATCACGATCGCACCAGATCCGGATATATATAAGATGCAATCCGACTCATATGAACCCGAAGACTGGAGATCCGAGACCACCTCGATCGGCTCCTCCCTGTACAAGGGGATCATGGAGAACGGCAGAAGATACCAAACCTTGAGAGAATCCGAATATTTTAGCCCTTCCGACGAGAAGCAGTTCGAGACCTATCAAGTGGGGCATCTCGCATGTCTTCTCATGGACTCCGATGAGTCCAACCTACTGTTTCAGTCACCAATCCCTTCGCCGAAGAATGTCCTCGATGTTGGGACAGGGCAGGGTTCGTGGGCTATTGATATGGCGGATATGTACCCCGACGCCATCATTCGGGGTGTCGATCTGTTCCCACCGCCTACCAGTTGGGTCCCCCCAAACTGCATATTGGAAGTCGACGACGTTTTGCAGCGGTGGACTTGGCATGATAAATTTGATCTCATTCATCTTCGTCACGGCATCGGGGCTTTTACGCCTGACGAATGGAGCCGTCTCTACGAGCAGTGCTATGATAACCTGGAACCTGGTGGATGGTTCGAGCAAATTGAAATGAACATCTGCTGCGAGTGCGACGATGGAAGCGTTCCTGCGGACAGCGTGCTGTTCTCCTGGGGGCCGAGATTTTACGCTGCTGGCGAAAAGACTGGAAAGCCTCTTGACGTAACGAAAACAATGCGCGCGTCGATTGAGAAAGCGGGTTTTGTTGATATTCACGAGAAGAATGCTAAGTGGCCTATCGGGGCTTGGCCGAAGATGAAATCATTGAAAGAGGCTGGGTTCGTCAATATGCAGCACTGGCTGGCAGGTATGGAGGGTTACTCAATGTACCTCCTCACCAAGTATGGAGACCCGGTGCCGTGGTCCAAAGAAGAAGTCCAGGTTTATGTGGCCCAGATGCGGAAGGCAGTGAAAAACCCTCGCTTTCACGCTTACCAGTACGCAAAGAGAGTCTGGGCCAGAAAGCCCTTCCCAGAGGAGCTTGCAAAGAGTAAGACCTCTGTTTATATCAAGCAGGAATGAGAAATTCCATCAACTTCAAGAACGCACATACCCTCCCTTTAACAATGAGGTGATAAGGCAGCGACTTCAAACGGCGCTGAAACGAAAATGCACATATGGCTGATCCGCCCCATCTCATCAACAGAGGCCATGAACCGCTTCATGAACGAGTCATGTTTCTGAAATAGTGTGTTTCAAAATAGGGTTCGGGAAACAATTCGTGAATATATGCACAGGAATCTGTTTTCAAATATGACAATACCTCGTGCGCCGATCAAAGCGAAAATACTCTTCGGGGCAGGGAAATACCCTGGTCACACGGGCCCAGTCCCTGCAGTGCGATATTCCGTGCGGATCTATACATTGAGAGCGCCCTATCGAGGCTAGTGCGCTAAGATCATTGGGAATAGAGGCTGGCCCGAGGATTTCAAGTGGTAATCATTGAGATAATTGAGATTTCATCACATCACATAGAGCCTCTATCTCAGTCAGAGTGCCTGCCTCCGCAACTAGCTCGCTCTCGACCACCTTTGTATACTCGACTAGAACTATAGGAGGCTAAGCAGCTGGGAACAGCGTTGATCAGGGACTCGCCGTCGCTTTCCACGCCGGTCTGTGTACAGGATGGATCGAAATCAGTTTCACCATTTCCATACAGAGATTCTTTCTCGAACCCTCTTTCGAAACATGCTATACCTATTACGGCTACTCTGCCCCTGAACCCCTTTCTTGGCGGTATTCCAGTACAATCGTAAATAACAGCTTAAAATAGCTTCTGTATTTGACTCGTATGGTCTCCAGGGGTTCTAGAACGTTGATCTAGCAAACAAGCCAAATAAACGAATGCCTGCTCGTTTGGAGACGTGGCAGGAATTAGAATCCCCATTCTGCCAATCACTTGCCCTCTAGAATGACCACTGCGAATGAGCGAGTTGTATAGAGACAGTACTAGTGAGTAATGTTCTTTGCTTCTTGTAACAGGCTTAGCCTTTTGATAGGGGACTAGCATCTGCTGAACTGACTGGTCGAGATCATGCTGACGTTGGATCCGTTAGAGCATTGAAACAAGGACGATGACTGCAAATTAATATCCTAATGACCCTGATTTTCAGCCGCATGAGCTCGAACCTGGAGATCACGATTCGCAATACGCCTCCACTCCAGGATATTACGGTCGTACGCCTGCGTCAAGCTGTGGGCTCAGCCCTTCCCCCGACTATCACTCTGAGAACGATCTGGAAGTCCTGTCACAACAAGCAACCGCAAACTCCTAGACTGCTTCATCTAACCCAATGGCATAATGGAATGTCAAGTAACGAGCTTCCGGCAAGCTGCATCCAGTACAGTATACGATAGAGTGGAAAGTCACGGTGAATAAGAAAGTCCTCTCACGAGACACAGAAGAGGACATAGCCTTGACTCCAAGTGTTTACTGGTCGATGACCCCAAAGGTAAGTTGGAGAAGTTATTATAAGGAAAGACCCCCGGTAAAGGAAGGGTAAAGTCGGACGGCACCTCGATCGTGGTGTCAGTATCACTTACACAGCAGAGTAACCAAAACCCTAAAGATTGACGGGGCCGAAGGTTCCTCGGGCCAATCTTCAAGGCCCATAAGACGCGATACAGCCGCCCGTGCCACGTGCACACCGTAGCTTGTGTCCACACAAGTCCGCCATGGAGTCTCGACAAAAGGCCCAACCAGGCCGAGATTGACGACTGATTCTGGGGTAATGCAAGCACGATCCTCAAGAGATCTAGTCAACAATGCCGAGCTCATCCTCGGCATCACGCGTGGTATGGTAATAGAACGCTGAAGGGCTTCCGTGGCCATCTCGCCAGGGGGATTCAGATAATACAGGATCTCGGACATGATTTCGGCACCGGAACAAACACGCATGTTCTTTATGACATGCTCGCCTTCGTTTCCAGGAAAGAGCGCAAAGCCCCAGAGGACACAGACGTCATGCGACTGGTGAGTAAACACAGGCTGGACAGGGAGACAAAGCCTCAAGCCCCAGTTACTATTCATCATAAGAATGATTGCACCAGCCTGAGATGTGCATCGCGACAGAGACTGAAGATATTCGACGAATCCAATGTGCTCGGTTGTGATAGTGAAGGATTCCAACATGGATTCGGATTTGCGTGTACAAAAATTATAAGGGTTGCCATGATTGGGGTATTTGTTCCCAGCTTCTAACCATAGTGCCCAGTTTGCGTCGAGGTGATCTCCTGCTTCAATTGAATAGGAAGCTGGCGGGAGATCATTTGTTCCAATTTCAGATCCCGACACAGTCGAGCCCGGTGCAGCAATGACGATGTCGCTAGGTCCTATATCATTTTTGAAATCAAGTCCGTTCTGAGAAACAGCGAGCCGACTGATTGTACGACGATTTTGGTTGACTGTGGTTTCGATGTTCCGTATTTTGATGTCGAACTGAAAATCCACGCCCTGACTCTGGAGAAAGAAATATATAGGAAGATGTATCGACTCGTATTGATAATAGCCTGTGAGATCCAGGCAGCTCAAAATGCCTAAGCTGTGGAAGTCGGATAAATATTGCCTAACAGCACGCCTGAATTCTGCAGCGCTGTGCCAGGGCTGAAAACCGAATCTTACAGATTCACAAACCTGAAGTTAAACCAGGGGATCAATGCCTTGGGTCGCGCAATTACTCACTGTGTCGACCATATCGTCCAAAATGTACTCTGAAAGAAGCTTTCTCGGAAAAAAATACGGATCTCCATTTTTTGCAGGCTTTTCTCCCCTTTCATAAGAAGACGAATTAAATGTATTCTGTGGCTCCACCCTATATTCAGCGACTTCGTGAGCAGGTGTTTGAAAGCTCCTTTATTTTGAGCAATAAAACAGGTGCCCCCTTTTCTGTTCATGACAATTTGTTCCTCCTCTGCTCGGAGGTCATGGAGATAAGAGCGGCCTTCTGTCACTGCGGACGGAATCATATCGAGAAGCTCTGTCAACCCCAATCCAATGGGAGCAGGGAGACACCCTGCAAACTGATCGTATCCTGCATGCGTACTACCTTGATGATGTACTGTTTGCTTCAAGGACAAGTGTTCATCTAGGATGTGCACAGCAGAAGGACGTAAATGAGCATTCTTTATCAGGTAAACTGCTGATGCTAGAGATGCAGTTCCACTTCCAAGGATCCAGGCCTCAGTTGTTTCTGGTGAGCGTCGGTTGTATCGTGCTGCGCTATCCATAGAGAGTGTCTGATGGGCGAAGCAGATTCGAATGTGATGGAAGACTGGTGCAATGTACACGTGTCGAACATCAAAAAGCAGAACATCGTGCATACATGTACATCCGCCCAATTATATCAATAAAATCACAAGATGGTGGCGATAAGTGGCGTTCCAGTCATTCAGCCATACAAGTCTAAAGACCTTCTCTTCCGGCCACCGAAGTCAACGGTCAGTTTGGGGTAAGACCATGGTTCGCTTCTATTTGCAACGGTCAGCTAGGATACAAAGAATCAGAAAAGAGCAGACAAGCGACAAATGCAAAAGATCTAAAGTGTTACTTCATGTTGAGTTACGTCGTGTTGAGTAGACTAACATCTCTCGATTGATACCAAGACCTCTAACATAGCTACCTAGGTGGTCGGAGTCGATGACGTCATCAACACCATTTAACTAACGTATTCCACAGGCGAGTGGCCACCCCACCCAAATCTATACTATTTAAAAGCAGTTATCTCAACCAAAACGCCATTAAATTAATTCAACTAAAATCATTTATCTAGCTGCATATCTATTGATTTTATGCTCTATCTCTCCACAACCACTACACTTAGGTAAAGCCTGTGTACGTGGCTGTAAAGACGGCGAAGGGCTTCTTCGCGGCCCGGGGGGCTTCTTGAACTAAGAGGCCTTCTTCGGCGGGTATCTGCCTTCTAGATCGAGTGCGCTTTTGCTTCTTCTCGTTTTCAGCGCGTAATTTCTTATTTTCTTTCGCGAGTAAGAGAGCACTATGCATTGTAAGGCGGAAGCCTTTCACAAGCTGGTTTAATGCACGATCTGATGGGCTTGGTGGACTTCGAGGTCTTGTACGAAGTAAAACTTTGATTGGTGAAGCCTGTCGATGTAGTTCTTTCTCTGTAGAAGGGGTTTTCCATGTAAAATTCCGGCTTGATTCACTACCCCGGCTCGGAGGGGGAGGGGTCGGGTTCGAAGCTGAAAATTAAACTTCGAAATCACTCGATTGTGTGCCTAAACCAGCTGCTCCGAAGCTATTTTTAATAGTCTCCGATTTAAAAGCTTCAATTCGTGCGGAGGGGTACGCTTCGAGGAAGTCAAGTTTGTCGATATGATTGATTCGGTTCCGCATTTTTATTTCAACCATCCGAATATACCAATGTTTTAGCACCGCAAAACAGCCGATATCGAGAGGTTGTAAAAGGTGACAAGAATGCGGCGGCATACGAATTGGTATAATACTATTTTGTTCGCAGATTTCGTCAATTTTCGGGGTTAAATGACTTCCGTGGCCGTCGAGTACCAAAAGTCGATACCTCCCCTTCTTCCGGGTAATTGTCGAAGGAATAAAGAGCTTTTAAAGCCATCCAATTCCAATTTCATCGATATGATCTTTCCAATATAGACCGACTTAGTGCGCACTACGCAAAAGGGATTGACCTTGCCGCCTTAGCGAACATTGTAGCCAAAGGAGGCTGGGCAAGTCGCAAATTTGAAGGAAAGTCGTCAAACGCACAAGCTAAGGGACTACGAGACGCCAGTATTTTTGGCAGGAAAACTATAAGTCATTTATTCAGATCTTAGAAAATTGTAATGGTGTGCAAAACGAGTAACTACAAAGGATTGATTTCCGATGAATTCCTTTGCTCCCCAGTATCAATGCTACTTACTTCAAATTTAAATACCCGAAGGCAGCTCATTGGAGAGTTCGAACGGATATCAGATCGAGTTCAGTGCATAGTACATGCGGACATTGTCATAATCATCGTTGAATATTGAAATTAACGGTCAGCCCTTACAAC